GCTTTATTTCCGAATTCTTTATTTATAACTCTTGCTTTTTTATAGAGGTCGAATTATAATATCTATATTATTATTTTAGTTATTTATCTATTAGTAAGCTCCGAAATATACTAGAATAAGCAGGCTATAATATTAATATAGAAGCCCTTAAGTATCTTATAAAGTACTATAAATAATATTAGAAATATAGCTAATTACCCGGATAATTTAAGTTTAATCTAAGAAATAATATTAGCTTTAACTACTTTATTATTATTAATATTTTCTATATTTCCGGTAAGCCTGTATTCTATATTATTAATAAAGGCACTTAATATTAAGCCGGCTAATAGCTCTAGAATATTAGTATAATATATATCTGGGATATACTTAAGTAATACTAGATTAATAACTATTTAGGCTTTCCTAATTAGATTATAGCAGATACCGGAAAGCAGTTTACTAGTAAGAAGTTTATTTAGCTTGCAAATATTATAGGAACCAAGGTTAAGATTATCTCTATAGAAGCTTATAACTTCGTTAGAATTATAGAATATTACTATAGCCTAATCTAATATACCTATCTTATTATTATAGCTAAAGTTAATGGAATTAATAAGGATATTATATTTCAAATAGCTTTTAAGGCTATTAATAACTTTATAGGACCTAATAATATTATTCTAACTCTTTTGATTTATAGTACTTTATCTCGAATAACCAAATATAATACCCTATTACCTATTATATTATAGTAATTAGTAGTATTTAAAAAGGTAATAGTAGAAATTCAGAAGCTTTGAGCTAGATATTAAATTATAAATGCTTTAAATACCCGAAATAATTCTAGTACTACTAATATTTATAAACTATTCCTGAATTCGAATATTCTTATTTAGTATAAAGGAAATACCGGTTAACCTAGTAGTTGGGATAGATTATATAAGCTAGTAGCTATTAATAGGGAGGACTATATACTAGCTCTATTATATAGTAATATTACTTTCCGTTTGACCTCTATAAAGCCCTTTATATAGGAGATATTAAGGTTATTACTAATAGCCCCGAACCTGAACCTATTTCCGAATCTAATAATAAGGCCAAAGGCAATACGGGTATAATTCCTCCTGCTATTTTACTAAAGTATAATAGAGGATACCCTTATAAGACCCTGGATATTACAGTATTTCTATAGGATAATAAACTATATAAGGATTTCTATTAAGTTAAAGTTACTAGCCTTCTAGAAAAGGATATATTTGAGGTTATTTCCAGATCTCAGGTACTAAAGGAAGTATATATCTTTAACTTCTGGTTTATTAATAAGATTAAGAATAAAGGTATAGAGAAAGAGCTTAAGAAGTCGAGACTAGTTATCTAAGCTTATAATAATAATAAGAAATATATAGTATTAATATAATTACCTACTATCTAATATATTAGCCAGAGAATTATCTTTAGTATTACTACTATAATAATAGATATTATAGAATTATATTTATATAATATCTTATAAACTTATATCTAATTAATAATCTTATTTAATTATAATTTTTATATTAACTTACCTTATAAGCTTACTAGAGAACTAAATCTAAAGAATAATTCTATTCTAAAGGTTATAAAACTACTATATAGTATACCGGAAGCTGGGAACTACTAGTTTAAGACTTACTATTCCTATTATATTAATAAGCTCTCTATAAAATAGTTGACTTATAATTCTTACCTACTCTATAGCAAGTAATTCTTCGGAATTATTGGCCTTTAAACTAATAATACCCTGTTTATTAGAACTAATGATTTTATAAAGGCAAAGTAACTAAAGCTCTATAAGACTAAGTTCTTGGCTAAGGAGTATAAATCCCTTACTTTTAACTATAATCTCAAATTTAATAGAGGTATTATTTATATAGATACTACTGGAATTACTCTTATATAGGAATACTAGTATAAGAACCTTTAAACCGTTTTTATAAAGAATACTACTACTATAAGTAGTAGGGGTACTATTCGTTAAAATCTCTTTATTAAGGACTAATATATTACCTAATATATAAGAGGAGTATATATTATATTAGTCTATTAACCAGAAGCTTTATATGACTTATTAATTACTATTTAAGCTATTAAATCCTCGGAAACTAATATAAAGGCATTTAATAAGTATATTTAATAGCAAATTGAGAATATTACTAGAGGACTGAGATTCGTAAAGCTAGTAAAGAAGTTCTTATATTTGATTATTTTTATAGATACTTCGTTTATAAATAATAGAGATCTCTCTTCCTAAATCGGATATATTCTAGTTCTAGTAAATAGAACTGGATATACTAATATTATTTACTGGTCCTCTATTAAATATAAGAGAGTTACCAGAAGCGTTCTAGCTTCGGAACTCTATAGTATGGCTTATAGTTTTAATATGGGTACTTTAGTCAAATCTATAATTAATAGAGTACTAGAAATGGAACTACTACTAGTCATTTGTACGGATTCGAAGTCATTATACGAATGCCTTATTAAATTAGGTATTACTCGAGAGAAATGCCTAATAATTAATGTAATATGCCTTTGCCAGATATATGAATAACAAGAAATTGCGGAAGTCAAGTGGATTAAGGGAGAATCGAATCCTGCCGATTCTATAACGAAATCGAAGCCAACAAACGCCCTCAAGCGCCTAATTAATACGAATACCATATAATTAGATATAGAGAAATGGGTCGAGTGCGGATAGGGCGGAAAATGGATATATGGGATGGGAGGATATTATGGAAGGGGAAGTTACGTGCAAAAGGCCGCGGCCTTTGGCATGTGACCAAAACCTCAGAAGCGATATGGATATATAGAGCATTTGGGAAATCTGGCACTAGGCCGGATTAGGGAATTTGTATACAATTAGAGGGAGATACTGTTTTTTGCGTTTTTAGAGAGTTTCCAGTATTAGTATAGCTGTTCCTCTGGGAGTCACGTGCGTAGTTACGGGACACGGGATATGGGATATGGGCAATGGGCAATGGGACATGGGCAATGGGACATGGGATACGGGATATGGTCATGTAACCTCGCGTTCTATTAGTGACTCGACCAGTAGACTAGACCCCTTTAGGCTTAGCAGATTTAGGGATTGCATATTAATACTATAATACTGCGATCCCTACTTCTGAATAACAACTTCACAAACCATATGCAAATAGCACTTTTATGCCTATGTAACGGTACCATGCATTCCTGGTGAACCGACATTTAGATACTAGTAAATCCGTATCTTAAATATTAATCTTATTATATTAAAGCTTTTATAGCTTATTATTCTCTTATTTATTAATTCTTTAGCTCTTTTTCTCTCTTCTTTTACTAATTCTATAGCTATCTAATAGCTTAAAAAAGGCATATAATAATAAAAATATTTATATATAATTCTTAATATAAGAATATCTTGTATTATTCTTAGTTTTTAGAAATAATTTCAGTATTCTTATAATAAGGTTTTATTATATAAGCTTGAAATAATATTTGAGATATTAATATAATGCTTATTTTTTATAATATTAATTAATTATAAAATACTAGCTTTTAATAAATTTAATAAATATATATTTTATATTTTATATTTAAAATATTATTTATTTTTTTAGCTTCTTAATAATAATAATTATTAATTATAATAATACTAGTTAGAGTTATAAGAGAAATAGCTATTATATAACTGGTTTCATTTATTTAGCTAGTATTTCCTTTCTTTTATTTCTTCTTTCTCTCTCTTTTTCTTTCTTCTTTTTAGCTTAGTATTCTTAATATATAAGATTCTTTTAATCTTTAAGCCTTTAAACCATTGCCTTAATTATACTATTATACTAGTAATATATAATACTATTATATAATATACGTGAAATACTAGTTATATAGTTAATAAAGTAATTAATTTAGAAATAGAAAATAGAGTATTATAATATTAATATACTTTCTCTAAATTTACTAAGCCTAATTAGAACTAGTTTATTAGTCAAGCCACGCATGTAATATAAGGTTATATAATACCTAATAACTTCGTAATATAGCTATTCTAATATTAGTAAATTCAAAATTAATATAAAATTAATATATAAGAAAGTTCAAAGTAATTATATTATTTAATAATATTTTTTGGCGAGAAAGCGAATTTTAATAAAACTCTGCTTCTAGTATATACCACTGAAATAGCCTTCTTTTTAATTAGTACTCCAGGTATTTATAAATATGAGAGCCTTAGCATTTAGGGAAACTTGATGTCTCACTAAAAGGTAGAACGTGGCCAAGATTGTGCCTGTTCTAGGCGGGCCAGGTTGAAACCGTGATTATATGTAATGAAGACACGCAGACACGATTGCATGAGATTGTACTCGGCCCTGACCCTTTACATCTTCAGGATATGAGCACAGCTACCTGACTTCTACTCGTATTTGATAGATCCACATAACGATTTCAGTTTTCGGGGTCTTCCCTGCTAAGATTTTAGCGCTCTCATACGAATAGGTTACCTAGGAGCGAGTATGCATTTCCCCTATTCTTTCTTATTGGCCGGGACATTGATTCCGTGCAGTGCCTCGTGTACGCAAAGTGTGCCTTGCTTATCCCGCAGAACGAGTAGCCGCCAGCCTCATGGGCTCCGGCAACATTGCCACTGGGGAGTAGTGCCAGTCTCAAGCCTCAGCTCAGCCGCCGCCAAAAATCGCAAGGCGCGATTTCTTCTGATCATCGAGTCTTATTATGCTCCATGCCTCGCTCCCTGGATCGCTTTGCGCGAGATTACAACAACCCGGAGACGCACTTAGAGTTTGGGGTACGCGCTTTAACGTTAATTCAATCGGCACGGCCCGACGCGCTGTCAGGCGGACCCTAGGGCCCCTTCCTTGTAGCAACATGCCTGCAGCGGCGAGAGAGGCTGCTTCTTCAGCAACATCGCAGTCAGGTATCGGCGGGAAATGCGGGTGGCAACATAACTATGCGTCGTGTTTGCCCGTGGAAGGGAGGTCATTATGTTGCAGCATCAATGGGTTAGTGAGCCGTCGGTTATGCTCAGCAGGTATGAATATAAACTTACTTACTTGCTCAACTTAGGTATTGCGGCTCGAACGCGACGTTGTAAGTCATCCTTTCCTGCACACTCATAGCGATAGCCAACCCTCAGCTATACCACTCTGAAACACCGAAAATCTTGACCGTGTGCTAACTTAACCATTTACAGTTGCACCGATGGCTGCCAAGAAAACTGCTGGCTCGATCCGTCAGTCTTGTCCGCGGCTCCTTCCACAACACCTCAGGGCACCACCACGCCCCGGACATCTATATCTACAATCTCTTCTGCCACTCCATCCGCCCCCCCAAACGCAACCACTGCTCAACACCACGGTCTGAGTGGTAGAGCACGCGCGGGCGTGATTGCTGGCTCGACGATCGGCGGCCTCGTGTTCGTAGGCTTGCTTATTGTATGCATTATTTTCCTCGCTCGATGGCGAGGCTGGAAAACGGCGAAGTCAGGACAAAGCTCCCCGGTAGAGGATATTGAATTACCGGAGCCACCCGCGTATCATGACGGTCCTATTGCGCCGTCCAACATTCATTTAAGAAACTATGGGGAGTGAGGACCTCCGGTGGCGGGAAAGAGGGCAGGAAAAATATGGATTGATTTCGGCGTCGTAACTGTGGTGTTGTGAGATATACTAGATTGAGTTTGGACCCTTGACATTGTCTATTGGGGATTAGCTTTCCTCTATTGCTTGATGTGGCATGTTTAATTCTCAAGTAATTGGAAGTTTGAAACCAGAATAGAAAGACGATACAATCTACTCAGTAGTGATATACTAAAGTGCCACAGCCAAAATGGGACAAAGCCACCAGAAACCGTTTCGCATCGAACACCGGACTCCTGCCGCCTGATGTTCTACCTCCCTTGCACGGGTTTGCAAATCATCACTTGATGCTTGCAAATAGAAAGTAGAACCAGACTTCAATCTGAGTCCTCAGCTTGTACCGGAGGCTCGTTGACGTTTGATTCTGAGATCACGCGGTTCTTCCAGCGCAACTCCAGCTGCAGGATGTTTCGTGGGGCTAGCCTCATAGTGAGGCTGAGCTCTGCCACATAGAAGGCCGCATACGGGCCTACAGGGTCGCTGCGTATGAATTCTTGCAAAGGGATATCTTTTAGATCGTAGTTGATGACATGAAACCTATTTATTTCTGAATAGGGTTAGCTGGTGCTTTCACCAACCAGAGGGTAAAGAGATCAACAAACCATTTTCCGCATTGGCCAAGCGGTCGGGAAGCCTGTCTCTATCCCCATCATAGGCATAAATAGGAATAATTCCGCTCCTAGGGCGGGTTTCCGTCAAGTTTATGGTGATAGGCCCTGTGACTTGTTTGGGCTCGTTGGAAAGAATCAAGTCCCCTTTCTTGATCAACCACAACAGCTGATCCTTCGCCATGATCGGGACTAGCGAATCCTCGACGCGATCCCTGACATCGTGGGTAATATCTGAAAAGGGTGCGTGGAGAGATACTCCATAGCTTCGGGAACAGGCGCTCATGGTAACTTTGCTGGCTGACTTCTCAATCCCGAAGATTGCGGCACCTCGGACAACGGCGGTCCATCTTTAGAATTAGCTACTGCCTTTCACTCCTCACAGCATGAATAAAAATTCTACAACATACGAAGTTTTGGGTATTTGTAGGTCAAGTTCCCTCATATCAAGAGACTCTTTGATTGTTTCCTGCAAATACAAAGATTCCGCAAACCCACCAACGAGGAACACATTCTAGAGGGTATATTAGCTCCAAAGACAATTTCTTCCTGTGAATTACGAATACCTTGAGACGGACTCGTTCACGTATATCCTCAATCTGTTCCCGTTGGTTTTCGATTAATTCAACTACTTTGTTTGCACAAGGCTCAAAGAAGGATTCCATGTCTTCGCTAGATAATGTTAGCAAGGGCCAAAGAAGAAACAAGCACCAACAAACTATGTAATAGTGATCTGGCCTCCTATTACTATATTTTCCTTGTTGAGGTTCTCAAAAGGCTCTGGTAAGTCGATTTTGATATCTCGATGGTCTTTCGCAAACTTTCTTTTGTGGACATCGAAATTTTTCATCAGGACGCGCATTCGTTCTCCCTCCGCATCGTGGGAACTAATATTGGATACCACTTGCGCTTGGTCCAATATCTGGTATATCTCTTCTCCTAGCAGGTCTCTTAGCCACTTCTTGAAGGCCAGGTTGATAAAAATGGATCCACATTTGAAGCCTATCATTATTAGTACTAAGTATTAAACAAAGGAAGAGCGGAGCTATCAACAAATACTAACCCGTCGGTAATGTGACTCGTTCAATTTCGAAATTCGGCTCCAGTTTCGTTACTTTGTATGATACCACATCCTGGAACATTCATGTTAAACCAGAACGCCAGGGTTTGTGAATAAATTGCACATACAACCGTTCCCCCACCTGCGTCGCACAGCACAAAGCATTCGCCTTTCTAGCTCCCCCGAATAAGTTTTAGATACTATTAAACTCTCACAACGGAGTACCCACCCTGAGAAAGTCTGCACCATTTTGTTCCTTCAGAACTCTGGCAGTATAGATAGACGCCGCCTCGGGCTCTGAGACCAGCAGCATGTCTCTAAGCTGCGGGAAAGTTCTTTCATTGAATCCGGCTCGCGTGAGTGCTTGAAACGTGGAGTTCTTGGCCCTGTAACCCCACTCCTAGTGGTAGACCTTAGCCGGTATTCAACTAGTGCTTAGGGATACCTACTGCGGGAACGGTCGCAACAATATCGACGGGTATGGTTTTTCTCAACGCTTCGGTAAATGGAGCCACTGCCTTGAGCAGATAGTCAAAAACTTTCGTCAGGTAATCCCTCACAATTTCCTCCGGGGTCTTGCGTGGAAATTTGTCCCCTCCGTGATCGATAATGTATTGGAAGTCCAGATTATGCATCCCGTCCAACGCCTGCAAAATCAAGTCCAGCTCCGCTGAAGTACCATCAACCTCCAACTGAAGTTTGGTATGCACCATCGCGATGGCTTTTGGGCTCAGATCTGTTCCCCACTGCTCTTCTTTGGCCTGGCTCCTCAGCGAGTATGAGATGACGCTTGGGATTTTCATGTGGTTGCCCATCTTAGGACCCCAATCCTGAACAATATCAATTTCGTCCAGCAGAGCCCGTTTGCCAACAGGAGTAGCGTATGCGACCCCTATTTCGCAGTGTTAGCTAGTATGTGGGACAATCTAGCCGCGAGCCATACCTGTATATGTTGTGCCATAGTCTACGGCGATAACTAGCCGGCGTTCTTCCACCTCCCGCAAAGAAGTCGATAGACGGCGCTGTTGCACCTTGGGCAGGTCTTCCATGGTGAGAATCCTGAACTTAGAGGTTGCTTTCGTAGCTATTCGGAAGTATTACAGGCATGGACGATTTTCGTTCGTGGTTGCACCACAGGCCAAAACAGGTCCGTGCCCGAGGCTGGCTTGCACCACGACAACTTGTGGTGCAGCTGAACGTCTGACCGATCGTACATCTCCATCTTCCATCCCTAAGCAGGGTGACATGACCAAACACTAGTTGGTAGACCTCGCAAGAAGTATAAACATGGACACAGTAAAGTTGGTCTGCCATGATCTTGTTTCTAAGAGAGCGAGGCTGATGATAGCCAGAAATATCGGAAGGAGAATTCTTAGGAAGAAACCGTTGCCGTCTCGTACTGGCGAGACTGGAGATGGAGAGCAAACCGGCCAACACCCTGACGCCCAGAGGGGTGCACAAATAGCCTACCAAAATGCCGAACACGGCCGTGCTCCACCAGAGCAGCCAAGTGGGAAATTTTGCCCTTCATTAGGACGAGGAAAACAATCTGCGGAATGCGAACAACCGGATGGAAAAGGGACGAGGGAGGCAAATGGACAAGACACGGACGCCTGCAGTGTTTCTCAGAGTACACCTTGCAAGCCTCTGCCCTCGACACCACAGGTACGCGGATCCACCAGAGATGGAGGCGAACATAGCGAAGCAATGGACAGAATCTCCGATTACATCCTCAAGATACAGAAAGATTTCTTATCTATAAGTTTTGAAAGAGAAATCACTCGTCCTTGTTCGCTCTCGGATGTGGAAACCGCCTTGGTCAATGTAGTGCAGGCATATGATGACTGGATGCGTTTAATTGACACATCTGAACAAACGATCGAGAAGATGAGGAAGCAGTACCAGGCCTTACAGTCCAAGTCCCACGATGATTTATCCCGGAAAAGCAAGGAGTGCAACGACAAGATCTTGCGGTTAAACAGCGCCAACGAGAGAGAGAAGGCTCGTTTTGAGGGTGAAATATCAGTATATGAGAAACAGCAACAACAGCATAATGACCGAATAAGAGAAATTCAAAAAGAGAATGATGAACGAACGAGAGAACGTCAAAGATGGCATGAAGAGGCGGTCGACGCAAAGAACTTTCAGATCCAACAGTTGAACAGCGATCTGACATCATCGAGGGAGGGACATGTTGGTGAAATTAACCGGTTGAAAGAGCAGCAACAGAAGCAATCAGAGGAAATGACCGGCAAGCACGAGGATGAAAAGCGGGTGATTGAACGTCATTTCATGGACCAAAAGTCCCAGATGAAAGATAAATTGTTGAAGCAGGAGAGGAGGGTGGCAGAAGAGCTCCAGAGCAAGATCCGGGCATTGGAGGAAGCTTCACGACTTGCCAAGGCCGACTTCGAAAGCCAATTAGAAGAGACAAAAAGACAGCTCGATCAAGAGCGAAAGGGAAAGATGAAGGAGATTGAGAGAATTCGGAATGCTCACGACGCTGAGAAGAGAAAGATGAGAGAAGATTTCGAAGTAGAGAAGACAGGGCTTGTCAGGGGCCTGAAGGAGACCGTCGAGTCTCTAAAGGGTGCTCTAGTTGAGAGAGATCATTTCAAAGCCATGAGTGACCATGAACTCGCCCATCGTTTCCAAGATATTAGTATCGAGGTTGATGAATTTGCCCGCGTCCAATGGGACATTGGACAAGAATCGCTCTGGCCTTTCCCTGGACAATCGTTCCGAAAGTCGGAAAATCAACGGCGGACGAAGCAATATATCATCCAGAACACGCTCTGGGTCATCCTCTATGAGAGCATCTTTTGTACTCCTTTCCGTGTCTTGGGAAACCAAGGAAAATCGCTAGAAGCTACATGGATTGAGAAATTCGGCCAAGGTAAGCCCACATGCAACTGCTCATTCTCCGTGGCTAAGATGCATAAGATCCCAAATCTACAAGAGTGTCGGCTCTCTGTCCACCGGCGACTAAAGAATCCGAGAAATGGAGGTACGAGAACATGAAGAAATATGTCGCAGCAACGAGCAAGCCTCAAGCGGAATGGGACCATAAAGTGAAACGGGAATTTGACTCGTGCCTGAAAGAGGTCACAGAAGAGATGTCCCAGGAGCTGGGAAAAGTTGCTACTGTCAGCGACAGCGAGAAGCAAAGGATGAGCCAGCTAGTGAAGAAAGCCGCGAAGTTGTGGCTGGAGGTAGGGCAGCAACGATGCCGTATGTCTCTTCTCATGTCAGAGTCGAGTGAGGATTCGGTGCGAAGCAGACACACAGCTCTCGACCGCGACAGCTCTCTAAGTCTAGTCGTGGTACCGGAGTTACGACGGAGAGGCAACGCGCAAGGAGAACGACTAGATACAGACGATTTGGTGATGGATTGCAAGGGCAAATTCAGTGTGTTCTATGCTAGCTAGGTTGCTTTTATTGCAGTGCGCCTTCTCCAGGGAAAAGCACGTCAGATCATAGTATGGTAGGGCCCAGAAGGGTCGAAATTTTCTATTTCAAGATCCGTTTACTGAGTTCGAACTCTATATCAAAAAGGTACTCATATCATTCTAAAGCGCTTCCAGGGAGAAGATCTGCCGAAAACTTGTCTAGATGAGAACTCTCCTCCTGCACATATAGTCTGCATATTCTTCGCCATCAAAACGAAGCTGCCAAAACATCTAAAGAGGAATAGCTCGAATGCACCTACTTATGTGGCGTTCTGTGCCATGGCGGATTGGCAGGAGATAGCCTCATGGGCCAGCGCATAAATAGGCCACTGTCTCGCACACCACATTTCCAATCGTTTCCATCTGTTTTCAACTACGCCAGCATTATTGAACCCCACTTAAGACTGAGGCGGGTGAACTGCTGTTGCAAACACATCTAGTCCATCTCTTGTATCCTCGACACCGCCTCATCCCAAGCCTGGTCCCCTTATGCGGCGCTTCAGCTCAGCCTCACCTGTTGAGACAGGCAGCGGACACCTGAATGGAGCACTAACTCGACTTGCCTCCAGCGAAGTCAACACTTCAGCCATGCACTCAGTAGAATCGTTAAATCCAAAACGATCCCGTCTAACGCTCAACATGCGCAACTCTGCTCGCAATCTCCTTCAGCGGCGGCCCAAATCTTCGACCTCCTCCTCAACTTCCATCACTACTGAGCTCCCAGCCATTTCGCCTCCACCTCTCGCACCCGGCGACCAGCCAACGCCCATACCACTAGGCCAAAAAGTGTCAGCAAAAGAAATTCGGGACCTCAATGAGCTAATCCGAAAACGCTATGCGCTGGACGTTGAGATCTGGAGCAAGCGGGATTGCAGGCCCCGTGACCGTAAAGTCATCGAGGATAAGATGCGCCGCTCAGACGCTACGCTCACGAAGATTATGAGCACTGTGAGGAGTTGGGATCGGCTTGAGGTGTGGGAAAGTGACGCAGATTGGCAGAGAATGAGGGCTATTAGGGACAGGTTGGAGGGGGAAGGGGGGAAGAGAATTTGGAAGGGTAATCCACCGTGGGATCCTTAGTGCGAGTTGTGGAAGCCAAGGTGGTCTTCTGATAGATCAGCAAACAAATCAATCACCCACACTGGGTCTGTGGCACCAGCCTCACCTGAGATGGCCTCTCATAGGTGAAATTCATTCGTACTGCATGGTTCCACCGCGGGTCTATTCTTGTTGAGGCTGAGGCTTTGAGACTTGCATGAAATCACTGATCGCTGAAAAAGCGGTACTGCTTGCCAATTCGCTTTCTTGAAGATGGATGGAACCGACATATACGAAGAGAACAGTGAAAAGATGCAACGCTGTATGAGATGAGGAGAATCAGATCACTTCGTCATTCCGTTGACGTGCTTTTCTGGCTGTAGCGAAGACCCCTTTCAGATCCCTGTAGGCGCTACACTGCCTTTCCCACCTGGGAGGGATTCTTGGACCACTTACAAAATATGCAGACAGCGCCCAGGCTTTCTTGATCATCCGTCATCCAGTGACAGTGGTTCGTTGAAGCTGAGGCTGTACGCACTGGGTAGTGGTGGTCAAGCAAGATTAAGTACTGATGCCTAACGAGGTGGCCCGAGATAAGCCATAGGAATTAATTTCTACGCGAGGCAGAATTTCGAGGGCAGGCTCTAGAACTAGTCATATACCGTTCCAGGCCTGAAACCGGGAAAAAATGTGTAAAACGACACCCCCCCCCCCGGGTGTCGATTAGGGGTGTCGATAAACTTGTAATTGGCTATCTAAGCTCTTCAAAAATCTTAAGTTATATTTTTTTTAATATAAGTATAAGCTAGCATATTATAACACTAGTATTATAATCACGTGCTTCCTAACTTATAATAAAAGATTTCTTAAGATAGAATTTTAATTTAAGGGAGTTTATATACTAATTAATTAAGCTCTAGTTTTTAAGCCTTATAACACCTTATAAAATATAGGTTTGTAGGGCTCTTGTATCTGGTTTTAGGGACTTATTCGCTAAATTTCTAGGCGTTCTTAAGCTTATCTTTAGGTTACTGTGACAGCAGGAACAAAGCGATGGAACGAGGCACAAAGATCAATGGTCCCAATGTCTTAAGGATTTAAAGCTAAGGAGAGAAGGAGTGAGGTGTGGCAGTGGATAAGTAGGTATGGCCAAGACCACTGAAACGCCGAGCTTTGGAAGCGAGCTTGGTTTGAACCATAGCTTGGAACCTTAGCTGAAACCAACCCCTTTGGCTGAAACCACGTCCGTATCAACCATGTGACACCAGCTGTCACAGCTACAAAATATAAAAAATTCAACTTTTTTAATTTAAAGAATTACTACTAATTTAAACTTTTTAAAAAGTTTGTATTTAAAAGAGCCCTTAATTAGTATAATAAGGAAATAAACCAAGTATTAAAATATATTAATTCCCTATAAAGTTGAATTAAATTAAAGAAAAAGCCAGAGTTTTGGTGTTCCTGTACGAGCGCCTCTACTTTAGGTTAGTCTGGCCCCCAATCGACACCCGGGGGGGAGGGGTCGTTTTACATTTTCCCCTGAAACCCACGCGAGTTGCCATACACGTGATTCTCCCCTTTTTGGATTAGCTCAGCTGCAGAGACATATAAACCTTCCGCTGAACCGCACTTCTTGTAATTTAGATATCTCAATCTATATTAACTTGACCCTTATATTTTAAACCCTTATATTTTAAACCATTATATTTTAAAGATTGCCTTGTTCGTGCAATTGTCAGGAGTGGTATATCTACGCTGCAGTCCCTGCTGCTGCCTGAATTCATGCCCTGTTGCCTGAGATTGCCTCCTGAAGCCCCAATGAAAGCTGTTCTACACCTAAAGTGCCCTAGCTCTGATAATTATGCCCTGAGGCCCCAAACGAGCTTGATTTTATTTTATTTTTCGATTTCCTTTTTGCTTTCTGGAGCGGAGTCGAGGACTCGTGACCACCTCTGTAGCCTAACCCTATATAGTGCGTCTGCGTAGAGCCTTAGGCAGCTAAAAAGACTAATGGAACACAAAAAAAACAAAAGAAGGCCCCAAACGAGATGCGTAAAGAAGAAATGCAATTCCCCCAAGTCCCCACTAAGAGAGCACTGGAGCCCTGTGTCAAAGTCCTCCAGGGGCGCACCAGTGGCCTCCCCGTGGAGTGGCAGGGAGCGGGAGGTGCCAGGCCCCCCCGAACCTCTATGATTCAACACACATAGCCATCCACTAAAGAGCGAAGAACACCAAAATCGCTACGTATGGAAAATCACACTAAAATTCAATGCAGTGTCTAAAATTCTTTCAAATAGCTTTGTGAGATAGAAAGAAGCGGGTCTAACTCGTATGGAATTTTCTCAATAATTAAATATAAATACGGCATTACGAGATTTTCTATTGCGAGAGTCAAGGTTGTGCCCGCCCTCGCTGAGCGAAGAGACGATTTTTGATGCCACCCGCCTTCGTAAAGGAGCCGAAGCTCAGGCTACAGTCGGTCCGAAAGAACAATAACAAAATGAAAGGGCGTCTGTTGTAATACTAATTAATCTGATTTAAATTACATTAATTATAACCATCGCATATCTTATAATAATTAATTTCATGCTCTCCGATTTTTAATATCTTTAATATCACGAGAGTTACAAAGCACATAATTATTTATATTTGAGCTCCTATGAAACTTTCGTGTTTTATATAATTAAAAATCGAAAAAGTAGAAATCGTCTATATACTTTAAAATTCGATTGCTAATTAACTACAAATCGTATTAAAATTAGGTTGATATATTTTATTTCCTTAATTCTATCCTATAATTATATTACTTAGTATCAATTAATTCAGGTTATGGTTAAAAAGTTATTATGGGCATAAAAAGCGGACCGTTTTGTCATTGTAGTATCAGACACCGTATTGTTCAGTGCCGTCATATTGCGCATTGACTTGAATGACTGCGGAGAAATTTATTCCGTATGCCCCACACCGGTAATCTACTCTCTTCCCGTCTTACATCCTACTCGTGGAAGATCCGTAATTATTTCTCGGATAATTCGGGTTGATTATTTCATGCTTAGGGAGTCAGTAATTGAAGCTATAAGTGAGTTGTATTGGCTCACTTCCAAGAAACTACGATACTTGGATTTACATTGGAGTCTTCACGCCACGTGAGAAGAGAATCACTCCTGCTAAAATGTTGATCTCCACAATACTCCTTTGTTCACTTTTCAGTGCATCACTTGCCAGAGATATAGTGTTGAGAGATATAGCTATAGGTAGGTGTTCCGGCCTATTGGTGTCACACTGGTAATCTGATATCTTTAGCCACTACATCTTCATTCTTGTCAACTACAACTTCAGGCTCTGTTTCAGGTATATTTTTCTCCTGTCACTCAACCGTAAGGATTAACTCACTTTCCCGCACTCAGTGTCAACCACAAGTTCCTCGGCATCAATCTCAATTACCACAACCACCCCGACGCCATGTTTTTGCACAGCCTGGTCGCAGATATCCCCGGCGGTAGCAGCTTGCATGTCCATCACACTAGACAACATTCATGCACCAGCAAGCAGCGCAATAATTCTCACCAAACTCAAAACTGGAGCCACAGTCACATTCTCAGGAAAAACAAGTTTTGCGTTCACAAACAGTTCCCAGTTCAGACCTCTTCAAATTGCAGGCAATAATGTGACAATACAAGGCGCACCCGGATCCATCATTGACGGAGGTGGTCCTCAATACTGGGATGGACTTGGCTCAAATGGAGGACTCCCGAAGTAAGTTCTGGTTATACTGGAACATGCCCGCATATTAAAACAGGGCAGACCTGGCCAGTTCATGAAAGTTCAAATCACAAACAATTCTATTATGAAGGACCTGTACATTCAAAACTACCCCTCCCATGGAATCAACGTTGCAGGAGTCCTAAATTCGACAATCCAAAACATAGTCCTCAACAATTCACTCGGGGACGCTCCAAATAGTATTAGTAAAGGGCTTGCAGCGGCTCATAACACTGATGCTTTCAATGTTGGAAACTCAATCAATCTACTCCTGCAAGACTGCAAAGTGTGGAACCAGGATGACTGTGTCGTTGTTTCGGATTCTAGCAATGTTACGGTTAGGAACGTGTTCTGCTCGGGGAGTCATGGATTATCGATTGCTGGTGGTGGGACGGGACCTGGGCATAATATCTCTAACATTGTGTGAGTACAACCAATGATCTGCTAGTTCACTACTAACAGAGAGTTTGAGGTTCACGGACTCCATCGTCACAAATTCGACGAATGGGTTGCGAATCAAAACAGATTACAACGCCACTGGGAGCGTGGTCAACGTCACGTACTCTAATATCCAACTTTCGAATATTAAGACTTACGGGATTGATATTCAGCAAGATTATCTTAACGGCGGACCGTCTGGCATAGCAAGCAATGGGGTAAAAGTTGCGAATATCAGTTTTTCTAATATATCTGGATGGGTGGTCCCAAAGGCAGCGGACTATTATATATTCTGTGGCGATGGGAGCTGTGGAGACTTTACTTTTGATAATGTGGATATTAGAGGTGGCACGAAAGCGAGTAGATGTAACTATCCAGCTGAGGGATGCCCTGGGCCATATACGGCGGAATACAGGTAGCAAGAAATCTACAACAATACCTTGAACCAGAGTGGACTAATGCAACAAAACCCCGACTATGCAATATTTCAAAGGCTCCCCCGTCACCTAAAATGAAATTTCCTTCGCATCCTTCCCGAAATTCCTTTCCCAAAGTTTCCTCACTCTCGCGCTTTGCTCCAATGGAGTGGAGCAATGCAACAAAAAAGAATTGCCCACTGGAACTCTTCCCATTCAAGTCTTCTTCGCAAAATCATGTTCCTCAATCTTCATATCCTCCATCCCTTTCCCCATCCCACTAAACGGACAAGTCTCCACGCAGGCAGTACGAGTCGGGGTCCCCGGATCCGCCTCCTCCTCATCACTCCCACTCACAATCTTCTTGCCATGAAGATAACCTTCCTCCTCGACCTCAATATCATCATCATCAACCGCAAACTCGTCAACACCTTCTCGAATATGCCACTTGGCCATGAGATCATTCTGAATCCAGATGATCTTCCCGAGCGCCTTGACCAGCGCTATTTTTCGGGGAAGCGGCAGTTTAGGATGAGAGAGAATTGCTTCTGTCATGATGTCTTGGATGAATGACAGACATGCCCCCAGATGGATGTATTCAATATGCAAGGGGTGAGTCCGTCCGAGGCCCACATGCATCATACTGAGAAGTTTTGTAAGCCGGAATGTTCTGATCGGCACATGTATCTATGATCTTACCCAACTTTGTCCAGATACTCCCAGAATTCCATCTTGGTAGGGTCTGAGCAGAGCTTGTTCAAATAGCCCCGTAGAAACATCTTCCGATGCAGAATCTGCGGACTTTCCTCGGTAGGGGTATCATCTAGAGGACCTTTGAAGCTGGTACTCCGAGTTTGAAACGCGCGAGCCGTGATATCGTATTGAAGCAACTTTTTGTAAACGATGTTGACGACTGCTGGGATGAGAGCTTTCACGTATTTGGCATCAGTCACGAGAGCGTTGACATCCCCTGCAAATTCATGTCAACATTTTTAATTATTTCTAATTTCTGGGAAGGAGATGGATTGTGATATGACATACGGCTCGTGAAATCAAGAAAGCTTTGAAGATAATGCATTCGTGCCTCCAGATTCGTGTAAATCTCCTCCCTATCAATGTGGATTACGGGGCGAGGATTCGCCATGGTGAACGGGACAAACTTCTCGTTATGGGGCATAGGGAATTACGAGGACAACAGAGGGAAATAGATTGGGTTGAGGTAAGAATGCTATTTATGAACGAGCGTAAAATTGAGAAAATATTTCAAGTTCGGCTTGTTAAGGGTGGTTTGAGGTGATCATCTGATTTATGGCCTGATGTCGGATGGACCTCCGTCACTTGACGGCAACATCAACCGGCCTTGACCGCAATGCGCAAGAATGTGAAACTCAGTAAGGGGAACTCGGAACTGTCTGAGAAGGGTTTGAAAGTTGTCAACAGAGTCCAGAAGAAGTGCCGCACTGGATATATTTACAAAGGATGTGTTTCAGATCACGTGACTACAGAGACTCTCCTTCATCAAAGCTTTCTCTACACCGCTCCTAAGCTATACAGCTGATTTCGATGCTCTAATCAATTCTTATACTAATGGGTATGTTTTTAATGGTTTCTACGATGTCATGTGCGCTTTAGGTCGCCACCTTTGCCCTACCCTGACATTGCACTACTGAGCATTCTCCATTGCCTGTGGTTATGTAAATTTTCAAGAGCGCAATTTCTTATGTTCACCGAACCGCCGTGATGAATTTGGACCAGGCATTATCTCTAGATTAAAGTGGGACGGAAAATGGAGCTCCTTTTTGGCAATTCGCTAACTAAGCGAGGGAGCCCCTTTCTTCCAGTTCCGATGTTCCTGTTCTTTGGGGATCAATTTTTTACTCTAAAGCTTCCTCTCGGACAAGGCACACATATATAAATGAAACTAGATTCAGGTTATCCAACAAACTCCGCATTCAAGGTCCTATTTTACAGGTTTTTCTCCCGTCTTTTCAGCCTCACTTTTCTTTATCTATCTCCCACCTACAGACAATTCTCCCTCGATACGCTATCCAACAAATTCCCATAAAGAGATTCCGTTTATCCATATGCTTCTTCAACGCGATGCATTCTCAACTCAGAAGCTCTTTCCAACATCATAATTGCTCCCAATCTTCACGCCCAGTCCATTCCTAATTCTATCCTCCGCATTGACCACACTCTTCGGCAGTGCGTGACCAATACCAAAGAAAACGAAGAACGCCCACTTCCATCTGAAAGGATTAATTGCAATGCAGAACATAAACCACCAGATCAGCTCCAGGTAAGTGAAGAAATCGAAGGCTCCAGTTGGAGCAAATCGTTTAACGAAGCGGGTCATGTCGATCCAGCGCTCCATCCAAAAAGTTTGGGGCCGAGTGAGAGGGTCGGACAGGAACATGAGTAGGATCCGAGTATAGATTCCGATATGCCAATTGCCGACGGAGCCAATTGCGTTGACATACTAGGATGATAGTTTAGTGAAGCCGCAAGAAAAGGGGTTCATGAGTGAGCTTACGGTACAGTTGTTTGCACAGACCGAGACGTGCTGAGGTGGGAAGGTCTGCAGATACCAGTTGGGAGGGCTATAAGGGTCGACGAAACTATCTTCGGGCAGGAAGTTGAGTGTAGGTCTATCGAACCCTGTGGCCATGACAACAATATCTCCCTTGATAATCTTTTCTCTTCCTGGTCCGCCGGCAGGCACTCCCTTTGATCTGAGATTGAACTTAACTCCCTCTTCCGTGAAACCCTTGATATCCCCCCTTAACCACTCCGCCTTCCCTTCGCGGATTTTATCCATAACATCCGAGTTGACCATTGGGGTGCCAGTGAAAAGCCCTTTGTCCGTGGGAGCAAGATCCTGAAGATCACGATAAAAGAACTTTCTTAATATCGTTTCCGGAATCCAAGAAAACGGGGTCTCGCCTCCAAAAATATTGAAAGAAAGCAGAATATCGACGACTGGGTTCCTCGGGATGATCCACTTATCACTCCTCGCAAGAATATAAGTTTTCTTCGCCTCCTCATGAGCCGCAAACTCCAAAGCCTCAACAGCAGATGCACCACCCCCAATGATAATCATGTTCTTCCCTTTTGCTTCTTTCCCCGTCAAGTCGCTGCTATGGTATATCTCGCCTTTGAACTTCTCCATGCCAGGCATATGCGGCATTTTCGCATCGCCGCAAGTCCCAACCGCAGCGATGATGCCGTCAAAGCGTCCGTTCGAAGTATCGTTAATGATCCAGCGTCCTTTCTCGTCTTTATACACTTTCTCGACGGGGGTGTCGAATATGGTTTTCGATTCGAGGCCGTACCGTTTCCAGAGCTCGGTGATTTGGGAGACGATTTGTTGGCGGTTGGGGTACCCTCCGCTCCAAGTGACAGAGGGGTGGAAACGGTACATTATGGAGTGGATTTGGAGACCGGAGGTGTTGTTAACTCTCTGATTGTTCGGTTAGTGTTTGATTACTTCGGGCAGAGTGAGGGGATGAGGGGTTGAATTTACGCTCCAAATCCCACCCAGCTGTTTCCGTGGACCAGCCTCGAAAATCTGGACATCAAACCCATGGCCCACGCAGTGAGAAGCAGCAGAAACACCAGTCAATCCTGCACCAATAATCGCAATTTTGGGTCTACCAAGCTTTGCACCTGGCTTTGGAGGGTCGGGGGAGAAAAGGTTGCTAAGGACCCATTGGATGAGTTGGTAGATGAACGCGAAAGGATGGAGGAGTGGGTTCTCCATGACCAACGATTGAGATCGCATAACAGATAAAGTGTTCAATTGATATGAGAGATCAGTTGAAAAGAGAAAGAGATAGGGAGCTTACGGTGTGGTTTTGTAGGAGGTCGGTCGGACAGGACGGATGTTTGAAAGTCTTGGCCTATGACGTACCGTGAATTAGTGCTGCACATGAAATTTGCATGTGAAAATGAGGGACTTCTCTCAAATACGCCTCGAACACGCTCTCAATAATACGAGAATAATTCACTCCAAAATAAGACTTCTTCATATAATCAAGGCTTAAGTGGGCGCGATGGATGCAGTTGGTGGGAGTTTGTCAGTATTCTATCGTGATTGGTAATCGGTCAACAGTCTCAAATTACTTAGAACAGATAAATCAATAAACGTGAAATAATTACCTGATCACCAAGATTTCGCGAGAACAACTGATTTTAGTTGATATGAGATGCAAAAATTCTCGTATTTAATTCTCAGCTAGTGACCCCCACTCAACCCACCGAAACATAGAGGTACTGTACCTGGCACTTGACCATACTTTGCACTTGATCTCGGCGAAAGTTAATTTTCTCCTACTAGATTAAACAGATGATTAGGAAATGGAAGAATGAAAGCTCATCTTCCAATGAGACCTGAACTCATCCAATCAAAATTAAGTCAAATTTCCTGGCTAAATAACAGCGGTCTGTTTATAGTGGGTTGCTGTCGCTATCTGATCCCCCAGGTCCACAGACTCTACATCACCGGCTTCGCATTAGAGAGCAACATCTCGAAGTACGCTTCATACCACATTCCTACAGCGGAAGATGGTTTAAAAGCTACAGACAATAAGCTTCTTATCCAACCTCAGTCAATGGGAATTCAAATCACCATCGGTCTTCGCACAATCGGCCTCATACCCTCTCTCCCCTTCTCACTCCCACCATCACTAACCCCACGATTCTCCACCCAAGCAAACTCACCCATATTCCTATTCCCCGTCACCAACTTCGGTCTCAACCCTATCCCCGCCCATTAACAATACACCAATCTCTCCATTCTTGTCTAATCCTCTGCCAGGCATTTCAACTCGTGTGTACGATTGCGAAACTAGGCATACTATATTTGTTAATAGATACGAGAGAGGAAATGAAATATCCCTCATACATCCCTTTGTTGGGGACCCTGGAGGGAGTTTCCCATTCCGGGGGCGACATGTTGAATGTGTTGTAGGAACTGACGCTTGGGCAGATGCCGCGGAGTTGGGAAGGAGAGCCGGCGAGCTTGTATGTTTGTGCTACGAGTGTTGCACCGGTTCCTTCTGTTAGCAGGAAGTCTTCAAGTGTTGCAAGATGGATACTTAGATTTTTGGTCCGGCCGAGAATACCACCATGACCGGCAGCGGGATACATGCTACATTTGGGAGATTGAGTTATTCGAGTACGTAGATGACGCCTTATTGGATTACAAGCTGCGTGATCTACGCAGCTTGTGGGAGTAGGTTTGTTACAAGTGAGAGTATTGTTCCGGTTCGACGATGGCGGCAATTGCGACGTTGGGGTGGCTTTGGACAATTTCAGCGATGACTGAAGCGTGTCAGCGATTGGATAAGTTGGGAACGAAGAGACTTGCTTTGACTATACTTTGATTTATATTTCGAGATATGGAATTGGGGTGTTTCTAGAGAATCACAATACGATTTCGGTAGATCATGGACGACAATTCCCAGGATTGTTGAGCAAGGCACGACGTCCAACTCCTACTCTAAGCTGGCGAGTGATGCGTTGCTGAGCCAAAGGAAAGATCCTGCGCTGGCAACTTTCAATGGTTCTGATTTGAGCGAGGTATCATTTATAGAGTCGGCGGCCGCAATAGCTTGTGACTTGTAGATAGTATTTGGATGAAGCGTATTCGTCGCAAATAGATTTCCAGTAAAAGTCACAGGTAAATCGCAATTATTTGCTTGGCGTTTCTCTGTGGAGCTCGTGAGGCTTCCGAATGCATATATCCCAGTAATAAACAGCAAATATATCGTCATGTTGAAGTGTACGGAAAGCTTGATAATAACTCTCATGAGTAGAATACTTTATATATGCAATCTAACGAAAATCAAGCTGGAGATTCTACATTTCGTTACTGAATACCATTCGTAGGTTAAAGGCGATTCGGATCAATGTGCAGACAACATTTCCAAGCCCTGTGGATTCATCCTAGTTCCTGTGATGCTATTGGTCAATCTTTGCTTATTGTTATATCACGTCCATAGCATCCTTCTCGCTAAGGCTTTCAAAAGATAAACAAGTGGACAGATCTTTTTAATTTATCCCACGATTCTGCTCCATTCCTGGCATTGGTGAGCGACGTCGTTAGGATGACGCTTCAGGGGCTCGCTAACGACCCTGCGGACATAACGAGCCTGCTGACGGAAGTCCGTGTTTTTAGCGATGTTTTCAGGCCTCACAAAACCAAAGTCGCCTACTTTACTTCATAGTTTCGCAGCAACTACAAGTTAAAACCTTATATAATTCAAGCGCATGAGATAAAAGAGGCCAGAATGGGTTTAGAACGCCTGCAAAATCAATTCCGAATATAAATTTGAAGTATCCAAAATAGTTATAGGGTTCATTTCTTAGCGAAATACCCTAAAAACACGGACTTTTGTCAGCAGGCTCGTAAGTCCGTGTTTTTAGCGATGTTTTCAGGCATCCAAAACCAAAGTCGCCCACTTCACTTTACAGTTTCTTCACAGCTGCAGATTAAAACCTCGTATAATTCAAGCGCACACGACGAAAAAGGGTAGATTGAGTTTAGAATGCCTTTAAACCTAATTCTAAAGATAAAATAAAAGCATCCAAAATAGTTGTGGGGTTCATTTCTTAGCGAAATGCCCTAAAAACACGGACTTGTGTCCACAGGTTCGTAACGAGGTAAGCTGGTGCCCTACGTTTTCTCATTGGCTCCAATAGCCAACATCATCAAATAGCGGAACACAATTTCCTCTTCACCCAGATCGTTGTCGGGATAAGAGCCACAGGAAGGTACAAATGTCCTCGTTGAAATGACCAGAAGTCGAAGCGCTGGAAAGGCAGGTCTCCAAGTCCAAGATAATCATCAGTGTGTCAAATGATTAGATTAGATTAGATTAATGGGCATTAATCTAATCTAATCAAGGAAATTTACCATTAATCGTATTCTAATCATAATCTAATCAGATTAATCGATTATTAATTGATTAATTTGATTAATGGAGCACGTGACTAGACACGTGATGGCGCTAGCCGCATTAGGGCTACGGCCGCCTAGCGGCGGCCTGGGCCGCAGCTTACCAAGCTGTGAGGCACACAATAGCAGGGTAATGCACAAGTACCTAGTCAAGGTAAGTAAGCTTTAGAGTGACGCTTGCAAGTGTAACTGATTTCCAAGAGTTGATTCCAACAAAAGACTAATCGATGCCCCTTTCCAAAGCTAGAAGCGTCTCCCTATATATTCCCTAGTGCTTAGCCAAGCGTACGAAGTCCTTTACTTAATTAGGAAATGCGATCTCATGCAAGCTTAACCCAAAATAGGAAACTAGATCTACGATATCTGACACCCGTCCATGCGCCATTACGTACGCCCCTCACAGATAATCAGTTTATTATTATAGAAAAGGAGTAATTAGTTAGTTCTTAGCTTAATTTAGTTTTTTTTATTATAATATTATTAATTAGTTATAAGGTTATTTAATAATTAATAAGTAAAAGTAAAGAGAAAAGTAAAAAAAGTCAAGAAACTCCGGTGTCACGTGATTAATCAAGCATTAATCAGATTAATCAAGATTAATTAATCTAATCTAATCAAAAAAAGTCTGAATCACGTTAATCATAATCTAATCACATTAATCAATTAATTAATCGATTAATTTGATTAACGTGATTAATCCTTTGACACACTGATAATCATACAACGGCTTCCCCGCCAAGGGTAAGACCTCATCACTAATATACTGCAGGACCTTACTGACAGCAGTGGCCGAGGCGGGATATCTGCCGTATGTGTGCGCCAGATACATGTTGACTGACCTCTGCAGCAAAGTAACAATTTGGTAAGCAGTGGTTGAAGGGAGAATGAACAGCGAGGACAGGAACTTACAAACCAAGACACCCTCTCCAACCCAAGGGACACCGTCTCCAAATTGGCACAGTCCAATGTACTCTCTCCTGTGCGCTCCACGCATACCAAACGAACGCCACCGTAACCAACGGGGCGCTCACCACCAGCGGTGGTAACCTGCATACCGGATCTTCTCGTCCTTCATTCTTGTCCTTCAACATCCGGTATAATACGTCGCTGCCCTTGCCCGTGATTACGGTCCCAAATATTATTTCCAGTCCGAGACCTAGATATGTGAGGCCGGTGGAGACTGTGCTGAGGCCGCATTGCTGCATCAACACGTGGGAGAAGGTTGTGACGAAGGGGTAGGTCAATCCAAAGAGGAAGGTGACCGTAGGATAGGAGAGAGGAAGAGCATTTTGAGGGTTCGGATAAATGCTTCTGTAATTCGCTTCTAAGGTGAGAGGCTGGCGTGGAGTGCTAATCGTAGCCCTTCATTTCCTGCCAACTTTTGCAGGGCGGCGACTTTATTTTTGAGGATCACCACTGCGCATGTCTCTTTCAAGAGGACAAAGCCAGGAGGGCCAAGACCATGAGATAGATGATGGCTTGGAGCCAGAAGACTCATCGCCATTCCTTGGCCTCTAATAGGTATCCGCCAATAGTGGGTCCCAAGGTCGGACCAAGCATGGGCCCATCCTCCACGCCACCATAGTTGCACCTCTTTTGTCCTGCGGAAATTCTCGCCTAGTGTTGCTCCATCCAATGTAAGGGGTACGCCAGCCTGCACATCCACAAGGAACTAAAATCCTATCAACATGCCCAGACTGTTGGACATTGCGCATGCAATTGCGAAGCCGAGGACGAGAGTGATGGGAACAAGGTATACTGGTCTTCGGCCGTAGATTTCGGAGAGCGGAGTGACTAGGGGGGGGGGGGCAAATACCAAGCCCAGGACGGAGATTGAAACGACGAAGGTTTCGAGGAAAGCGGAAGAGGAGTGGGAGTCGATCATTAATTTGGGGATAGCGAGTATTAGCATGGTTAATAATAAAGGTCTATAGCGGATATGTTAGCTGGCTGATGGGTCGGTAATACGAAGACAACGGCATAAAGTATCGGGAATACAGGGCATTATTTTATGAAGGCCACTAAATGCCCTGTAAGCTCTTACTTTAATCTCCCTGTAGCTAGTCCTAGTCCCCTGTAACCCCCTATAAGCTTACTAAAAGTGCCCTGAAGGCTTAATATGGGCTTATACAGCTTGACAGGTACTAAACGCCCCTGTCACGATAAGGTGATATTGCAGTGGTGGTAAAGAGCTTGAATTGAGCTGAAGGCTGTGTGCCCGGCTAAAAGCACTGGCTACACGCTAAGTCACGTACAGTGGCACCACGTGACTGGTGCCACGTAACAGCCCCCAAACGCCTATAAATATAGGCGAGTCCACTAATTAGTAGCGAGTAAAGGGGGGGGTAATTAGCCCTAATATACACCTCTCCATACACACTTCGTTCTGAATTCTAATTCTAATTAATTAGAAAAACACTTAATACCTTTTGCTTTACTTTAGCTATTATTATAGCTACTTTTAAAGGTTTATTTGATTTTCCTGATTTATTAGATAGCTAATCAGAGCTCTTCTCTCCTCCTAATTCCTCAGATAACGAATACTCTAACGAGTATACCGAAGATAAAGAGAATATATGGTATAATTTACTATCAGATTCGGACGATTTAGATAATAATTTAGCTAAACCAGCCCTTCTATTACCCGCTTCGTTAACTGCTTTTGTACTTACTACTCTTGGGCCCAAAGAGCACTCCACTAGTACCAGAATCAAGGCTATTTATATGCTTGAGGATAAGAAGTCTTTAGGACAAATTAGGGAAGCTATAGGAGTACCCAGATTAGCTATTTATCGACTTGCAGCTATAGCTAGAGAGTGTAAATAGGTAGAGAATAAGAATATGCCTTTGAAGGTCTTATATATACTCAATATATCAAGATCTAGTTAACCTGCAATTTCCTCTAAAGTAATTAAGTATATTTTGAAGATTATTCTTCAAAATTCTACTATAAGAGGCTTTTCTTATACTATAATTATAAAGGAAATAAAGAAAAGGGATTATGAGGTTATATCCAGAACCGTATAGAAAGTTCTTATTTATACAGGCTACTCTTAGTATAAACTAATAATTAAGCCTGGCTTGAATATTCTTAGTAAAGGGAAAAGATTAGCCTAGTACTTGGAACAAGAATATTAGACGCTTAATAATTAGAAAGATGTGATTTTTACGGACGAGACTACTATTTAATTAGAAGGTATAAGGGGAAAGAGATATATATAGAGATTACCTAGAGAAGTATATAATAAGTATTATATATAAAGAAGATAGAAAGAATTTTCTGAGTTTATATTTTGGGGATCTTTCTCTTATAATAAAAAGGGGCCTTGTTATATATGGGAAAAGAAGACTTTATAAAAGAAGAGAGATTATAAAGCTAATCTTGATATAAGGAACTTATTAATTAAGAAGGCTAATAAATAGAAGTAGGAAAAGAAGCAAAGGAAATGGCTAAGGAAATAGAAAAAGGCTTATAGAAGGGCCCCTGGAAAAGTGCGAAAGATATAGAGTATAACGAGAAGACTAGTACTTATATTATAAAGAATAGATAAGGAGGAATTAATTAGTATTAATACTAGAAAAAGATCTTAATTAAGAAGCTCTTGCCATTTGCAAGGGAATACTAAAAGGATTGCCCTAATACCCTTATATAAGAGAATAATATAGGACCTTACAAGTCACATTACTAGAGGAAGGTTTATAATCTATAGAAGATTATAAAAATACTCTGGCCAGGAAACTTACCTAATCTTAATATAATTAAGAAAGCCTGGTTCTAGATAAAAAAGAAAACTACCAAGCGGGAACCTACTAGTAATAGGAAGAAGCTAAGAGTAAGGTAAGAGAAATACTAGGAAGACCTTCCCTAGAGCAAGATTCAAGAGTGGATTATAGTAATTCCTGATTATATAAAGGAGATAATACGTTTGGAAGGGGGCAATAAGTATAAAGAAGGAAGGAAGAAGGGTTAAGAGAAGGTGGCTATATATTAGATAGTTATTTAGATAGATAAAATCGAACTAATTAAAAAACAATCGAAATTAGAGGTTTAGCGAGGTAAGCCACATTTCAGGGGACCCTTACAGGGCTTACAGGGGACTAGGACTAGCTACAGGGAGATTAAAGTAAGACCTTACAGGGCATTTAGTAGCCTTTATAAAATAATGCCCTGTATTCCCGATACTTTATACCGTTGTCTTCGTACTCGGTAGTGGTCTAAAGTAAGTTAAATAAGAATAATGAATTGAGCTGGGAGTTCTTTTATTCAGTCATGAACTCGACACTTCGATCTCACCATGGAGGAAATTTTGAGATAATTCTTTTTACGCTTGCGTGTTGAATATTTAGTATAGGAATATCTTTCAGGATGCGGTTGAGACTTGTCACATACCAGATCCAAGACAGTTTGTGCTTTGCTACAAGCCAACGTGGGCGAGAATCAACAAGCTAGAAACTAGTTTATCAAGTTCTCATGTGTTCATTCTCCCATTTCACTCTCGACCTCGAAATTTCAACGCGTCACTCCGCCACATAGAGATATTGGCATATTGCACAGCCAGTGTGGGGAAATGAGCCGCCCACTTGGAGAAATGTAAGATGCCGTACAAATGACGAGGTGATGGAAGTATCAGCACGAAAGATGAGGTAGGCTTGACCGAAGTCAAAGTGAGAAGAGGTCATTATTCAGTCCACTTTTATGCTTCCGGCGCACCCCCATCCATCCTCCAAACTGAGGGAAACTTATGATCCATCCATCCAGTATCATATCAACCAACGAATGCTAAATGAGGGCTTCAGGTTCCCTTCACTAAGCACCATGCCATCCCATCCTCAAGTCAAAGTTCATCATCGTACGAGGAATCCAGACGCCAAACTCCCTCGCTACCCTCCATGAAAGCCAGATGTGTGTGCCGTGACAGACTATGCTAACTCTTGCATGTGATGTTCCGTGTAGAAATCAACACCTAGCCACTTCGTCTACACATCAAACCCATGCATGTTCAATTCTGTGCCGCCTAATGCTCGCTCGTATGCTTCATGTCGTCTGTCGCTCATTTACAGTCCATCTACGCTTCGGCGCCATCTCTCTGATCTTTTCTGCGTATCCTGGCGGTCTGGGCGTGCCCCAAAGGCCAAGAGGCGCAACCTCGTCTTCTTCACCTTGATCTTCACAGGCGCATTCTTCTTCGTTTTCCTTTTCTTCGTCTTTCTCCTTCTCATCCATGGCGCTGTTCCCGAAATTGAGAATCATGTCGTCTTGTTCTTCGACTTCTTCCTGCGGTTGTGGTGCGCTCCATAGGCCGATTGACATCTGACGTGGCGAGTCTGAGTATGTACGGGGCGTGGAGCCTGCAACACTGGCGGTACGACGGATGCTGCCAAAGCTACTTGGTGTCGTGATGGGTCGAGATTTATTAGAGAATTGGGAATTATCAAGTGCTCCGCCGGTGCCATAGCGATCGCGGAACGCGCCAATACCTGCGAGTGAAGGTGTCCTCGACGATAATGGTGTTGTCGATGTGGACCTTAGATGATCGGTATTTGCTGTCAACATGACATCGTACTCGTCAGAGATGGAGAGAGTTTTCGAGGATGCACGCGAGTGAGATTTTGGTGTCGCCCCAGGAGCGGATGGAGTGTCCTTAGATGTAGGCTTCCTGACGGCCATTGTGAGTGAAGCCATCCCGACATCCATTAAGACAGGCTGATTCGTCAGAGCTCCAATCAGGGCATTGCACCCAGCACCATGTGTAACCAGAATGATTACCAAATCAGTATCCACATCCTCGGAATCGCACTCGTCATGGAAGGTCGACTGACCAGGACTGGAAGGAGTTTTCGTCGAAAGCTTTCCAGGGTCGCCACTGTCGCGGTACCAGCCCACCAAGTGCTGCAATCCCTTGCGAAATCTCTTATGCATTGAGCTCCATTCCTCGCCATATTCTCCTCCATTTCCCCAGTTCTGTGGTTCTCTCATACTGTCCCACTGGTAGTCTACATTCACGCAAGCATCTCTGGCGTGGGCCACATATCCCGCTGGAATAGGCTCGGCCAATGAGATGGCATAGCCGGGGATGGGAGGTTGATATATTCCGTGGCCGCCCTGAGCATGTGGAGGTACTGGGGCAGTAGTCGATACATTGGTAGCGCTTTTGTTACTGTGACGTGTCCCGTTGCTTCCAACGCTGCTCAGGCTGCTTGTACGATCTCTTCGAGGAAGAGCTCCTCCGAGACTTGATAGATTCAATAAACCTTCGTCTTTGTCCTTCTCAGCAGCAACAACAACAGGGCTTCCCCAACCACCTGGAAATCCTTGGTTCGCAGGAGCAGTGTTGATATCTCGAACGTGTATCAAATTGCTGTAGTCCTCTCTTCTCAGTAGATCAGCTTTAGCTCCTGCTACCATCATAATCGAACTCGGAGGCGGAGTGATCTGCTCGAAATAATCTGGTGACAGCCATTCTCCTAAGAAAGCATCCACACGTATGATGGACTTCTTGATGTTTTCTGGTTGCTCTTGAGGTTTGCCGTTCACCTTAGAGGTATTCGGTTCAAGAATAGGGGCCAAGCGTGGCGAGTCCGTCACGATTGTAGGACGAACTCTGGGAGAAGAATGGAGTGGTTTGCCTCTTGCCGGAGATTGAGATCGATGGTGTGTGTGGGTATGTCCAGGATTTTGTGCCAACCCCGCACTGATAGCCACGGACGTTTGTACACAACGGAGGAAAGGTGAACTGTGGATGATGACCCTATGCCTGCGCTTTCTCACATTCCCAGTCTCCTCCTCCCCGTCGTTTGCTGCAAGTATCTCATCGTCTGTCTCCCGAGTCCGCAGGATGTTGGCAATGCGCGCCCCTAGGGCTCTGGACTGGGTCCAACCGCCATAAGTAAGAGGAGGATCGTAGGGAGTCGGGGATGTGAGGTGCCATTGCTTGTCAGCGGCATCCAGGCGTGCGCCGTGCCTGCAGTCTTGTTAGTATTCCGCCTTGGCAACGCTCAACTCGATTTTGAGCTGCAGCCCTTGCCGCGCCCCAACCTTGAAACAAGCAAACAAACGCAACAGCTGGAGGGGCGAAGAGGGTGGCGCAGACAGAACCTACCTGACGACGATGATAACAGCTGGTGGCCAACCCATTACATTGATAGATGGCCTTCAGCCATGGATCCTCAGAAGGGTTGGGGAATGTTTCGAGAGGTGCAAAGGCGACTTGAAGTTGATATATCAGTCAAGATTTAAGCGGGGATACCTTTCATGTGATCAAGGGACGTGGCCCACCTGGGAGCCTCAAATTCGAGGCATCGAAAGGCATCAAATATTGATTGGTAATGAAGCCTCAGGAGACAACACGCATAATGCTCTCGACATACTTTCGCCATCCTCTCCTTCACAATTCAACCACCAAACTATAAATCCAGGATGAAGTTATCCAGACTACTTCAATTACCCCTAGCTCTCGCGCCGTTATTGGCCCCAGTAGCAGCAGAACATACCAGCAACTGGGCCGTCCTGGTGTCAACATCCCGATTCTGGTTCAACTACAGACATCTTGCAAATGTGCTCTCCCTCTACCGAACGGTCAAGAGACTTGGAATACCCGATTCACAAATTATCTTAATGCTGCCCGATGACATGGCATGCAATCCCCGCAACGCTTTTCCAGGAACAGTCTACAGTAATGCAGATCGAGCGGTGGATCTGTACGGAGATAATATCGAGGTGGACTATAGAGGCTACGAAGTTACAGTGGAGAACTTCATTCGTTTATTGACGGATCGAGTCGGAGAAGAGATGCCAAGGAGCAAGAGGCTGTTGACCGATGATCGAAGCAACATCTTGGTGTATATGACTGGCCATGGAGGAAACGAGTTCTTGAAGTTCCAGGATGCGGAGGAAATCAGTGCATTTGATTTGGCGGATGCGTTTGAACAGATGTGGGAGAAGAAAAGGCATGTCAAAAGATTCCCCATATCCGAACACATCTGACGACTACCCTAGATACCACGAAATCCTCTTCATGATCGATACATGCCAAGCGAACACGATGTACAGCAAATTCTACTCTCCCAATATCATCGCAACAGGATCTTCGGAAATTGATCAGTCCTCATACTCCCACCATGCAGATAACGATGTCGGTGTTGCAGTTATCGACCGATACACATATTATAACCTAGATTTCTTAGAGACACAAGTCAGGGAGCCAAACAGCAAGAAGTCTTTGGGAGATCTTTTTGACAGCTATGATGAGTCCAAAATCCACTCTCACCCAGGCGTTAGATGGGATTTATTCCCTGGTAAAGAGCAAGGGGGTCGAGAGAGACTCGTGATGGATTTCTTCGGCAATGTACAGAATGTGGAAGTCGATAGTGTTGGAAATGACACTGAATGGAAGGAAGACTTACTTGCTCTTGGCAAGAAGATTGCAGAGCTACGGGAACGAGCTGAAGCCGCAGAGGTGGCGGAGAAGAATACCAACGTACCTAATCCGTCCGTGGGTACCCATACATCGCGAAAGATCAGAGCTGCGAAAGTCCAGGTTGACGACAAATGGTGGGGAAAGAAAGCGGTTGGTGCTTGGGCTTTAGCAGGATGCTCTATGGTGTGGTTTCTGGGCACATATCTAGAGTCATCATAGAGTTTCGCCTTCTATTTATGCAATTTGAATTTCTAAGCCAAATCTTCCCTTGGTCTGGACCAGTGTCAACGTGCCAGCGCTGCATCTGCCAAGTCTATTTACATTTCGAATCCATTTTATGATCTTTTCTCTCCCTCCTTTAAGTGTTTGATCTTGACGCAGACTTCACCTCCCTGATTGAAAAATTGGGCACCTTCACCGCGTCCAAACCGTCCCTCTTTGTCGCCAAGCCCTCAACCCACTGTCCCACCGCATCCTCCAGCATTTCAACGCCTAACAGGTGCTCGAAAGCCCTCCACGGCTGAAATGTCCAGACGCACAATTCCACCAGCACACCCGCTCTCGGAACATTAAACCCCGCCGGCATCACGAACTCTAGATCTCCCAGCCTCAGCACCTCCTCTCTCGCATCCTTTCTCTCACCGACGACGAGCACGGCCTCTTCCAAATTCGGGAAGGCACGCAAGAGTCCCGGGACCGAGGGCTGGTATTGTTGGGTTCGTTGTTGCTGTTTGAGGAGTGTTTCGAAGGCCGCGAGTGGAACCGCCAGGCGTCGGACGCTGTTGGCCATGGCATTACTACCACCTGGTCGTCCGGGGTGATTCACATTCGACTCAAGAGTGTACTTCAACGTCGCGAGGTCGGTGAGGAAGAGGTAGTCGATCCGCGTGTTTAGAAACAGCTTGGGGACGCGGGGTTTCGATCTATAGTGTCTGGTTTGCGTTCGCAGTGCGCAAGTCCGGGATTCGTGATTTGTGTAGAGGAGAGGGTGCGGTGCGGTAAGCTGCCAGAGGTGGTGGTGGTGGTTGATATTTAGGGCTATGATGCGGGGATTTGAGAGAGCGTGGTGGGAGATTTTGAGGCGGAGTTCGGCAGGGAGATCGGGGAAGAGAGTGAATGCTGCGGTTGTGTCTCCGGCTTCTGAAGGGGTGCCATTGGGCATTTCGAATTTGTAGAGGTAGGGAGAAGGAAAATGGGGAAGCCAAGATGGAGATTTGATCAGAGGTGGAGGTTCTATGTGCGAGCCCAGAGTTGTTTGATCAAGTGATCAGATTATTCTATGACGTGTCTTCGCATTTCAACATTCACTGTTCCTTGCAGTTTACTTCACTTCATCTTTTACTCTCTCAATCCACGTTACTCATGACCACTCACTTAATGTGCCTAAAGCAGTAGTACAATGCGTGTCTTATTGGAACATGCACTGCAAATACTCTCAAAACGCTCCCCATTCCAGTTAATTTCCAGCCTTCTGGGCCCAATAGCGGAAATCCTTTATTGACGGAAGTGGGGTTCGTCAGATAGCTCCCAATGAAACAGCAATTTCACCTCGACCTCCCTCTGGTCCTCTCCCTCAAAGTTGTTCATTGACTCATGAACTTCTATGCTTGTCTTGACCTTAAACGGTGGCGACAGATCTCTGGGCTCCAAAAAGTGTGTAAACGTGTTCAGCCAACTTCTTCTTCAGCGCCTTTCTCACTTTCTCCATCTTGGATCTTCCTGATTCTCCTTTTTTGAATGCACCCATAATCCGAGGAAGCCACTTTTGAACCTTCGGGCGGCTACCATCCTTGGCACACTGCCATTGTAGACCTTCTTGTGGTCTATTTGGAGGAGAACTTAATTAGCTGACCACAATAAACCATCCCAGCGATACAATTCTGGATCCCCTCTATGCCCATTCGAACTGAAATTATCTGACCATTCGCAGTCTGACACTCCCCTATCGCTACCCCACCTGTAGTCACCTGAGCTTTCGTAATCGGACATTGCGGTGTAGCGAGCAGCGATTGCTGTGAATGACAAGATGGTGACGAGTATTTCGTTGTAACTTGAGAAGCTCGTTAGACAAGCTATGTGAATAAGTTGTAAAGGATGGCAAATGCTGGAAAGGCACCACTAATCTTGGACCGATTGGGATGCAAGTCTGGGGAGGAGTTGAAGCAGCGTTTGATGTAAATGTTGTTGATATCGAGGTTGCTCTTGCAAAATGAACCACCTCTTCCATGCTTCCAAAATGCCCTAGTCATCTTCACCGACTGTAGAGGTGTACAACGATGATTCAAAAAATATGTATACTTCATCTCCACTATCTAATCACACGTTTTTCTCATTCATGAGTACTCATTCAATTTCTAGGAAGAAGTAGCACAACGAATGTCTTATTGGAATGTGTAACGCTCTTAGACCACCATACACTTCTAGTCCGGGTCTGTCTGGCAGTGGCTGGTTGACTGAGAATTTTCTGGCTGAATCACTTCCAGTTTTCTATCCTCCAAGCACTCTAAAGGTCATGCATCGATATTTCCCAAATAAACATCAGCGGAACAACCGCCGTGACTTCCACATCACTGGTAGGCTTATCTAGTTCTACGCTTGCCCTAGACTCCATCGCCGTCGAAAGCTGATCCGGGGTCTTCCCTATCATGAACCAGACCAATTCCTGCTTCAGAGTCCAGTGGTTCTCATGCTGGCCATCAATCTTGAACTTTCCAGTCTCACCGCTCTTTGAGTACGCCCAAAGCTTGATGAAACCCAGGCGTCCGTGTTCACCACTGGCTAACAGTTGTGGTTTGCCGCTAATCCGGAACTCTTTGTGCTCAATCCTGGAGAGGAGGCCACGAGCTGACCACGGCGCCCGTTCAACCCACTCATCAGATAACTCTTCGTAATCGGACATTTCGCTGAGGTGTTTCTGAGAAATGATTATTGTGAACTAGTGATAATTTCAAGTGTCTTGTTGTGCCGAAAAGGCAAAGGTCGAGCTTGTCTTGACGGGTTGTTCAGTGAGGTTGCTAATGATAAGAAGCTAGAGCCTTTTGCATCAAAAGTTGAGGTAAACCTTGATGTTGAGGATGCATTTGAATGGGGAACCTCCTCTTTTATGTTTCTGAGGTGACTCGGTGGCAATCACAGACTCTTGAGAGGTAATCTTACATACGTATATCACAAAAACATGATTGTGGAAGGAGACTTTGATGAATGAATCGACTGCAGCATGTAGAATCCATTCACGTTAAGGATGAATTCAGTTGCTTCCTGTAAAGTACAGCGCATGTTTTTCACGGGGCATTGAGTCACTTTCTCTATGAGTTGCCCATATGGTGGCTGAAAGAGCAACACAAGTGTTCCAAGTACCTAAATGCATTTTGCTTTCGAAGTTCAACGCGAGCTCTTCCAAACGTTCTAAGATACAATTTCTCAACTTTTCCCAAGAACTTCAAAATCTGTGGTGCTGGAAAGTCCAACACAGCTTCTGCCAAACTGCAACTTTGTCTCGGACGCCTTCATGCACAATCGCACACGCTCGGCCTAACACTAAGTTCAAAGTGGTCAAAGTTGGCCTCCAGTCTCCTAGAGTCGTACAAAGCATCCCTCATCACTCTACACCACCGACACCCTGGCGTTGCCTGAATTCACCACGGCTTAGATTACTAACCACCCCAGTTGCCTCGGTTTCGGCAAGTCCTGTTCCGTAATCGAGACTTCCCAATGGAAAGAGAGTCGAGGTGCTATCGTTGTTGGTATGTAGAGATCTCCACCACGATTTTGAACCTTGATAGTATGCTCAATGTAAGCTTTGTAATGGAGTCTCTCTGTCGTGAATTCTCTCGGAGAGGTAGAGGTCTTAGAATCCTCTATCAGGGCCCTCTCGCTGTCTGTGGGAGACTTATTTGTGATGGCGAGCTCTCCAGCATACTCCTCCTCAGTATGTACCAAGTCTCCGATTTTGGTCTCCAACGTCTCTACCAATTCTTCTCGTTCTCGACACTGAGCTCTTTAGGAAATTGTCCCTCGAACTGCTTTAACAACATAGCAGACCCTTCCAAAGTCTCCAACAAGGCCTTTTCATGCTCGTGGTGTGAGTTGTTGTGAATAGTGAGCTCTCCCTCGTGGCCATCCACAGAATGCGCCAACAGTGCAACACAACACTTGTGGCCATTGGGAAACTGGAATCTCTCAATATGCACTCTGCTCGGGCTCGCTGTTGACTGATAACCGTCGTTGTGCTACGGTCTCTAGTAAGTGTTTGGCTGCTGCCTCGGGGGATGCAGTGCAGATGGCTTCTTTCTCCCTCGTCGGTGGGGTCGAGGTTTCATCGGCTTTTCTGTAGACGTACTGGAGGAATACATCCGAGTAGTGGCGTGCGAGTAAATTTGAGGAAGTGTGTTGCTCCTTGGCAGAAAATGTGAGTGGGTGGGTTCTTGAAGAAGTCTGAGAGTTTCGGCCACCGAAGCGGATGTGATGCGGCATATTGAGGTTACTGTATGGCTGACTGAATTGGGGTAGGCTGAGGTATTGATGCTGTGAGCTCGTGTGTTTGGAGGTTGTTGAAGGTCAACGAAATGAAGTCTTGCCGCCGGACTCGATTTTGAGTCTTTGTAGTAATCAAATGCGTGATGTTGTTCGTGATCCAAAAAATGGAAAATAAGAAGATTCTTGAGATATTTGTCCTTTTATCACCTGAGGTTGGCTCGGTGAGATTCACAGACAACTATATGGTGATTAATGGAAAGTCCTTGGTACCGACAGACTTTGATACAAGCGAATGAAACTTTGAGAATCATTCCCATCAACCAGTAGCTTCTTGGGTAGACAAAGGGACCATCACTTTAACAGGAAGAGGTTTGCTAAAAAATTTTCAAGTTTTCCCGGTTCAGTAATTAAAATTACATTTGAAACAGCAGTAGTCGAACTTGTCTTCTCAATATGGTCAAGATGCATTCAAGTTTCCCCACTCTCCCGCAATTTGAATTAGAACGACGCGTTCGCAAGGTTGGTATCGAAGCGAGCATCAATGAAAGGAACAATAGCGCTTCCGAAATCAGTGTCATCAAGGGCTGTCTGGGCAACAGTTGGAAGTGACTCCCAAGCAATCAGTGGCTGTTGACCGCCAACAGTGGTAGTGAGCATCATTGAGTGATCCAGAGGCCAAATACTCTCGTATTTGATCAATGGGCCGGTGCCAGAAAGTGAATAGCCATCGGTAGAGCAGTCCCAGCCGCCATGTGCTGACGGGCAAACGGCCAGGATATTGGAGGCGGTGGTGCTGGTAGAGCTCGCGAGCCAGACGACGACTCCTTCCCAATCGTGTCTGTGGCCGAGTCCATCAGAGGGCTCGTCTTTGGGCATGTACCCTGGACGAATCAGTTTTGTCAGTGCCAAAGGCTTGTGTTTTAGACTTACAAGAATACATCAAGGCATAGTAATTTCCATACGTCGTGCCACGGACGTAGATTTGCCCGGTGTTGCTGCTGCAGTCACCATCGGATGCACCTGTTGGCTTTAAACCAGCACTATTGATGTTAGACTGCGACTCATTTTTGAGTTTGAGGGAACATACTTGGTGTCTCCTGCTGCGTCAACCGCAGGGAATGGAACACAGCCGTTGTAGACGTAGAGATATGGCTTGTATGCCAAATAGACGCTACCAACTGTCCCACTGGGAACTGTCTGGGCAAAGCCAACAATTTCGTCGGAGGCAATGGTTCCACGGCGTTCAATTGGAGTTGCAGTAGCGGTAGCCAAAAGGGCGAGGGTCAATTGCAAAAATCTTGACAAGACAGCCATGATGAAAAATATGTGGTTTGGTGGACGGCGGGAAGGGAGCCGTTGACGAGCCTGATGGGTAGAACGCGAGCTTTATATCAAGATCCTGAGCAACGGCGATCTCGGAAATCAATGCTTGAATCGAGAAACGAACCCGGCAGTTCGCCCCATTTCCAATCGTGAAATCTTTCTTCCTCACGTCTCTAGGATTCCCTGGAAGTTTCTGTCCATACTCACCCTCCCTCGCTCCCCCCTGTAATTAAATGTAGAAGGTGGCCCCTTTCACTGGGGGGTTTTGTATGGTGGAATGTCTGTGCACCCCGCCTCTCCCCACTTATTAGTTTTATTTAGGGGGGGCAGAGTACCAAGACGATTGCCGAACCTCATTCTACTTGCTCGGCCAAGTTCGCCTGGATTCTCGCTTAGCACGCTTTCCAGGTGGAGGAGCTTAATAGGGGAAAAACCAGCAATGCGCAAATCACCGCAAAAATTTGTATGGGGAAATTTGACCCCCCCCTATAGCCATGGATTTTGGCTCTAAATTTTAGAGGGTAGAAGTTTTATATTAAGAACTTATTCCCACTTCTTAACGAGTCATTAATTGCGTGCCGTTACTCCCAGAATCATGCGCGAATAATTGATTTTTGGTGGGGTTTTACATTTGTGTGTTGGTTGTTTTTACGTATTGGGCTTCCCCGCCTGGCCGAGCAAGCCCATGCCGACGTTGCAGGGCAGTACGCGGCCAAAATATCCCATCTCGCAAGTCAAGTCACGTCCGGGGAAAACGTGGCGATTCAACGAATCGGTAGCTGTCCCGAAATGTGTTAATGCGCATCTCGCAATGGCATGACGCTGAGCGGCCCTCGGCTGTATGTTAGGCTGGATTTGGAAGAGCCTACGGAGTAGTGGGGGCCATCTATATCGCGGCATAATCAAGGGTAATTGCCCAAAGCAGGTCAAGAACCGTGGATTCAGGGGTCTGTGAGCGTTGTGGGGCGAGGGCAGTGCAAAAACTATGCCGGCGAACGTACGGATCGGATCTTTCCACCATCCCCTTCCCTCAAGACCCAGAACCGTTTCAAGGCCTTCATCATCGCGCTGAATGTTAATAATTGTCCACGTTTTTATATGATCATGATCTCATTCCCCCTCCGATAGGTTTGGTTTCAAGTGGGCACCTTTCTCGTCGAGCCTCTACGTCCTACAAGATCAGGTTAGAGTTTCCTCGGTGGGGTTTTCGGCCACTAGCCTTGAGAATTCGTGCAAGACTTGAAAAACTGATAATATAAATTCGGCCATAAATATGTGATAAACATGGCTCAAGGTAATTAAATCAATCTAATATGACGATAGGGGTGTAGAACCCACTTTCTCTTGAAGCCATCGGGTTATTACTGTACGAAGTTTTTTTTCTTAAGAAAAGAAACTAAGATGAAGTCCGCTCCCCCAGGCTACAATTGGGCTGACCATTCCTGAACCTTGGTGAGAGGTGAGACGTACAGCGTGGTCAAATCTTCCCTTGTGAAAAACCGAGAATCAATCGAAATTGGAGATCATCCTGTATATTGCAAATTTAAATTTAGATATTTCAAGAACAGTAACGAAAGTGTTGTACAAAAGACAAGAATATCCACCAAGTACAGGTTCGTACAGCCCTCGCGCCAAGCTTCCCCAGGTTCCCATTTTTTATCACTTAAGAAATGCCTCTGATATAGCAGCACTGGAAGTCATTTCCACCAGGGCAAATTGGAGACCTGCCTCTCGTCAGTACCTTTTCACATCCTAAGGTCATCGCTCGAAGGAAGCTCACGAGTCAAGACTATAAGCACACAGCTCTTTGCTCTCGCAAATTCCAGTGTCACTACGACATGGGACATACTCGCAACACTGTACATCCTGAGGCCCTGGGCAGAGATTTGCAGGGTTCGAGGTGCCGCCTAGGCTGCTACAGTGGGAAGTATATTCGCAGGTACCGATGCCCTGGTGGAAGCGTATGTTAGCTCGGTCTTCACGGCAAATTGTTTTTGTTTGGAGAGGGCGAGATACCCCGTAGCATTGTTGGCCGATATAACCTCGTGCTGCCAAATCATTGGGAACAGCACTCCCGGTGACAGAGTACGAGAGCTAGGCGACGAGGAGTGCTGTGGTGAGCTTCATTGTGAAGAGTAAGTATTTTCTTTGGTCGAAGGTAGGGAAGCTGTTGTTGAGGATTCTCAAGACAGAGAGTGCTTAAGTAGATATTTATAGCTTCTATCAAACCCAGCGGCGAAATATTACGCCTGTCCCTGGCTACCTGAAACCCGAAAATAAAGCATGTTCCAACTTCCTCTACGTAAATATACAACAATAAGCTCTCGCTAATCGTGGGCCTGTACGATTCAGTTGCGGGGATAGAGTTGTGCCGTCTTAGTGTTTCCGCTTCCTCATCGTATAGCGAGGTTTGTGTAACACTACCTATATTAATGCATCACGTCTATGATGTAAACCTGTTAGAAACGGGGAAGTGAGATTTCGGGTCAGGCGAAACTCTAGCGCAAAGCGAAATCTAATATAAGGTCAAAAACCTCACACCAGATGCTGGACGTTTAGACATGCTGCTTACCCGAGGTTACGGTGGGTGAGCATCAGGAGAGGATTCGGTTCCATAAACGGTACATGAACACAAAATACTAAATTCTCCCCCCCCCAAAACTTTGGGTACGACGACGATCGATCAAAGGCTACTAACAAACTTGACCTTTCCTAGTAGACTCCTCATTTCTTCACATCCTTGTCCCACTGAAAGCTCTGTCAGAGATTGTTTGTGGGCTTGAATATATTCAAATCTAGGCAAAGACAGTTCAAATAATTCGGTCATCGAAGAACAGTACTTAAAAGTCAGGCGGTATTTTATTTCTGTTTTATAAACGTAGGTCTTCCACACCTCAGAGCCTTCAATGATCAACAGCCTCCAAGACTAGCTTACATGAAACCTACAACCAAAAATCAGGCATTCCTTCATCCAAAATTGCAGAGTCCATAGCCGCCCTTCGGTCACCCACGAGGTGTCACATTCCAACATGTCCTATAATACAGAACCTAACAGCCATACATTTCCACGCGCTATTCAACGCCGATGGCCATAAGGATGGAAACGACCCATCTGCCTTGCCGTAACTTTCTCCTTTCCTGGTCTAGCAGTCTGCTTCTTCATTTCCTCGCACTCGGCACAGGTTTCGTTGAACCTTTCCTCGTCTCTTAGTGAAATGTCGTTGACAAAGTTGCACGCTCCCAGGTTTGAACATTCCTTAGTGATCTCAAGGCGCTTGAGATGCTTTTCCTTCCTGCCAAGGACACCAAGACAAGTCCAAGTGATGTAGTGACACATTTTGATGCTGCTGATTGAGATCGATAAATGAGTGCACTTCGGGCACGTGTGCAGGAGGGTTGAGGATGCCCGAGCTTCTCCGAACTGTTCCAGGGTCAGCGAGGAAATTATAAGGGGACATATATTAGATCACTACTGGTATTAAGTAATCGTGTACTCCTTGTGATTTGCTTCCCGGGTAGAATTTGAGTTCACGTAGTTGTCTCTGAAAGATATGCTTGTAATCTGGTAGAACGTGGTTCTAGGAATGTTTTTTTGCGCGTGGTGAAATTTCCTTCTACAGAGAGACTCGACGCTTTTATACTTGAAATTTCACTCGGGCCTTGAAAAGGTGTGTGATTGCCTAGAGAGCGATCATTAACAATGCTCTATGGTCGAAAGAAATGCATGGCTACAGTGAATCATCAGCGATCATCTGATTACTACTATTTCGGAATTTACTAATCCAACAGATCGTGTAATATTTATATATCAGATAGAGGTAGATATGGCTTGCCTCTGACAAATTACTCTCTAAATCTCCAGAAAGCAAAAAGAACTACAGTACATGGCTTACAAATAATGCCACTTATATGCAATATGGTAGATTTTGACATGAGCAACAAAGTTTCAAGAGAAATAGATGAAAGCATATGTTCTAAACTCAAATATAAAACAAACGGAAGCATATCAATCATAACTGGAGCTAATAAGGCAGGAAAGTACTCGAGGAAACGACACTGGGCACCAGAGTCAGCACAAATCTAATATAGTGAGAGAGTATATTGCACACCGATCGGAGATAAAGCCGGACCGCCATTCCCCACAAGATCAAATCATTATTGTCGGCAGTGCCGAAGTAAGCATATCGAAAAAGGTGAGCGTTATTGTCGAGCCACGGGATAGTATGCGAAAGGAATGCGCTCTATTCGTCAACGGAGCCATGTGCTTCAACTAGACGCTGTGAGCAAAGCTCCCTCTAAAAGACTTTATCTGGACTTACCTCTGCGATCCACACCTAAAGTCCAAAAGAACGAGCCGCATTGACCCAGTTTTGAAAGTCCCCTAAGAGCGTGTAGTCAGAGGCTTTAGTTGTTCCCTCCTATCGCTTAAGACGTCCCCTACTATTGAACTCTGCATGTGCTCGTTTATTAGAGTATGGCACTCCACTCAACTAATTACACACAATACTGCTATTGCCAGTCTTCTACCAGTTTCACCAACCGCAACCATCACAGTAACTGTAAAATCCCATAAGATGGTCTGTTGGTGGGGTCATCGGTGGAACAAAGCCGATATTTGCGAGGTCCGCCACCTTGTCTCCCCAACTACTATCCATAACTCCTCAACTCTATGGCGCCACAAGAAGATGGATTGTTGCCGGAAAGGCTGCTCTGAGGGTAGAATATCGTCATCCTCCCCCTTGCCTCTGGCTTCGGAGACACCATTCACAACTTCCTCACACGTTCGAAGCGATACAGCCAGTCTTGGGACTTTGCGGAGATATCTCCACCAAAAGGGCCTTCCATAATAGGTTCGCAGCCCAGAAAATGTCACTTTCCCGCCATGGGCCATTGCCAGGATTAACGTTAAGAGCCCCGTCGATGGACCACTTGTGCTGGGTGGTGGTAATAACGCGAGCTGCTCCCCGAGCTATTTCGGGGACGGGACGGCGGGTCTCCTCGCATTGGACCTCGGTCGTGTAATTGTACCAACCGTGCTGAGCATTCGGGATCGTACGCTTGCTATTCCATCTCATGCGTTCTAGGCGTGATTGTACTCTATTCTTTGGTACAGGCTTTGACACCGGGCGGAAGTGTTTTGAAGAAGGCGTCGTGGACCTTCGGGAGAGGTATCTTGATGGAGGTTGAGGGTGGACTAAGTTTGGTTTGGGAAGAAAGGGAGTTAAAGGATCGCAGGGAAGTTTCTGTCTCGGGTCGAAATTATTTGTGGAGCGGGGTCATGCCAAAACTCCAAAAGTAATCCTTCTAAATTCACTGGTATCTTGCTCAGTTTCCTTAGTAAGGTGATTATTGCCCCATTGGACGGTTAAATGATTGAAGAATAAAAGGCTGAAAGTTGATGCTAATAAGTCAAAATCTCTTTGCTATTATAATGTTGAATAAGGACCAATTTGTGGGTGAAAACTTGATCAACTACTCCCTTTCCAGGCCACCTGATCTCTGAGAATCCTCAAATCTATATTCTCTTCTCTCTGAAACTTGTCTCATTGAATACATCTTGCAGTCTCTGAAGCCCTTTAATCGAAGTTGCTTCTATAAAATGCAACATCGGTCACTCCCACAATGAATTCCCATAGTCCCGGAGCACCTGCTCACTCTGCTCGTCCAATTCTTCCCTTTCAGTATCCGAAACATTTATTAGCGTCAACTTCTGCTATTAGTGGCAGTAGTTTAATTTACATGCTAGATCTATAAGTTCCAGCTCCGTCTCTAGCAAGTGTGCCATATCTTGACGATACATACCCTCAGAGGCTGAAAATTCGACGCCCGCTAGATCGAAATCATCTCTTTCTAACATACTTCTGACAAAGGTCTTGGAGGCAGATTCTCCTGGAAGGAGGAAAATGATGAACGGGTCAATGATCGTTCCATCATGACCCATAACGAGACAGGGATGTTGGAACCCCTGTTGCCAAAGGAAAATGACAAATTTCAAGGCTTTATCACTGGAAGGGTCAGTAATCTACTGACCTGGCTCCTGAATCCTCCAAATGGAATTGCCAGTGTGGGAATCTTGTGCAGATGGAACCATGAGAAACCGTGTTGAAAAGGGGTTGCAGGTGGTACGTGGAAAAGTCCGGCACCCAAATCCTGTCAATCTCAGGATTCAAGAAAATACTGGGCCTTACTGGGTGGTCGCAGATACTATGGTATGTCGGAACTTTTGTGGCTTAGTTTCGAGTTTCTCTGTTGACTCTTCGAAAAAGCAAATGTGTGCACATGGGTTCAAGGAAGATGCGGACTGCATTTTGCTTCTTGAAGTGCTGGTAAACAGAAACGATTTGCGGTGTGTGAAGAATGGTATCCCAAATTAAGAGCCGCACTTCCATTAGAAACTTTGGAAACAGGGTAAAGACACGTCCTTGTGGTCTCAGCCGAAATGCCTGTAGCTGCAGCCCCATGTTGTTTATCTTGACTTTGTCGTTCGCGTGCTGTTGACGGACATCTACCACTTTTTCTAGGAGGCTCTCAATTGTGCTTTTCTATTTCCGTCTTCTCCACCTGCAACGCACTGACATTCTTCCGAAACTCCTCGACCGAGCTGATCAGAGACGACAAGCCTTCGGCGGAGACTTGAAGTTCGCCAGCCTGACACGACGACGTGCGTGGCATTGCCCTGTGTGGATAACTGGCGGACTCGATTAAGTTGTCATCTACAAAAAAAAGCTCCAAGTCAGTTTCCGCCATGGTCATGTGCACTTTGACTTCGTGCTGGCCGGGCTGTCCTCGAGTCGTTGTTCTGCTGCTCAACGGCTGAAGGGGGCATTCCGGGATGCCAGAGACATGGGGGTGAATGTGAAGGCGTGGCGATATTGCTGCGTAGGGAGAAATCAGAGAAGGAGGAATTCTGTAGAGGTAGTATTGAAGCAGGGGGCAACTGGCGAGGAGCTTGTTGACTTTTGGTGGCCTTAAGCGAGAATGGAAGCCACGACATCAAAGAGACTCGACAAGGCGGATCCTTCAAGTTTCCATTTCAGTGACGGAGATTAAAATTCTTCCAGCACCTCCGACTCCAAAGGGCTCGACTATTCCTTCCCGCCTCCACATCAACACATTCAACACCACCACCTTCAAGTCTAGATGGCTCAGCAAGCGACGAACCAGACCGTCACGGTCCCCAGTCGACCTCCTCAAGTCCCTCCTCACCTCCGTCAATAGCCTCCGAGATGAAGTCTCCCTCCTCCGCAGTGAAAACACAGAAACCAAGGACATCCTGACCACCGCCCTCGCCTCAATCTCTCCTCCGACGCCACGCGGCGCGTTCTCTCTCTTCCCCGACTTAGCTACAGAGACCCGGCACATGATATGGGACGCCGCTCTCCACATCCCTCGAATTGTCGGCGCGAAGATTGTTCTCCGGAAAAAGGAGGAAGCTTTGACCCCTACCGCACCGAATTCGCCAATCCTTTTCGTCAACAAAGAGTCCAGGGCTTGGGCAAAGAATTTGCTGGTGTGCTTCATGGTCAAGGAGAATTTGAGCCGGGATCGCATTCCATTGCTCTACATCAACCCCGCTGTTGATACGATGTGGATGGTCAACTGTACCTGGGCGCGTGCGCGAAATGGGAGTGTTGCTGCGCTTTGGGGCGAGTCAATGATTCGTAAGGTAGCAGTCCCGTTCGAGACTTGGACTGGCATGCTCGTAAGCCTAGACGTAGAAGACGAAAACATCCTGCGGTTGCTTATTGAGCTTCGAGAGAAGGGAATAGAGATGGTGATATTTGCATTGGGCGACGAAGGTGCTGCAGAACGGCTCGATACCGTCTTTATCGAGCCAAAAGAGATCCCGGCCTTCTACCTGGACCACGAATTGATCCAGGAAATCAAGGGCACACAATTTAATCGAAACGAAGAGGTGAAATGGAGTTCATGTCGCTATTGCGCAAATGAGTGGATCAAGATTACTAGAGATATGTACATGGAGACTGTTGGAATTACTAAGAAGAGTCCTACCGATTCCAGCAACGAAATGCATAACGTCATGGTCCAATGGAGTCTGGAGAATTGGGAGCCGCCTCGACTTGAGTTCATGGAAGTAACAACTCGGAAGCAACTTGGCAAGCTCAAGAAGTTTTCGGAAGGAAATGGATGCGGCGGTAGCAGGGAGTAAAGCTTCATGGACAGTGTAGTGTGTATGGTTGAGCGGAGAAACAATGGCACGAGAATTCGGCAATGTAGCATGCGTGGATGAACAACTGGCACAAAATAATAGCACAGGCAATCAACATAGCAAGAAGGTCAAGAGTTTCGAGGGAAATGCCTTGATTTTGCCATCATTGTTCCTGTCCAGAAGAGGAAACTGCCCGTGATCCTATCGCCATGTCCCATATTCGCAAGATGCCGTCTTTCCAAGCAGAAAGCTCCCGAATGCCTCCACCTAGCTCCCAGTTCTCAGTGCCCATTGCCGAAATGAAGATCAAAGAAAGAACCTCCAAGCCCAATCTCCCGGTATTACCGAACGAAATTTATGCGATTTTTCCAATCGAGAAAGGCTGCCCGGCTGCCGAGAAACCACCAACGGCCGCTTGGATATCCCGGACGTCCAAAGTTACCATTGAGGTCAATCAACCGCGTGCTTTCCGAAGCTCGGTCATGGTCGTCGCTTGCACGTATCGAATGCTCTTGACGGTCCGCGTCGAGAAGTGGTACAACCCCATGGCATTATAGTCAACATCATCTGCATTCCGGAGGCCGGTGCCTGAAGCTAATCAGCTCGGACGTCCTCCTGTACTCAAACTTCTGGACTTACTAAGAAAGTATTGGTGTCTAGCTACAGCTCGTTCGGCTTGGAAAGCTGTCAGGAACTTCATCTCTGCCTCGTTCTTCTCCTCCCAAGTAATATCGTCATTCAAGAAACCGATTTCTTCCAAGAATTCGGATCTCGATTTTAGTGTCTTTTTGGGCTCGACGAAAACGATATCCGGGGATTTGGAAGCAGAATCATCCCCAACAACTAAAATGACTTCTTCCGTGCCTAAGATTTGAAGGCGCCCCATGATGCCCAGGTTATCGGTCGCCATCATTTCATGCCAACAATCGTAGGGCAGAGCCACTTTCGTAGCCAATTTCTGGTGCGGTTTGCCCCCAATGCGGCACATAACCAAGTCCTCAACACCAGTATACGGGCTGTTTTGCAACCTGGTAGTTAACCATACAATGTCTGTAGCCGGATTAAGGAAGATTTCCGGAACCTTCATATTCTCTAAGCCATGTACGCAGAAAATTTTCAGTGGCAATATGATCTTCGATGCCTCGCTGCGTGCTTCTTTACATACGGCCAAGAGTTGACAGCGAAGTGTGGTCGGAACAAGGACCCACTCACCAGATCTCCTGTCCACGATTGCCTTAACCCCTACAACTCGCGAAATATTGGCGCAGTGTCCCCATATGATTCGCTGAGTCTCTGGAGGTAGCTTTGGGAACAAGGCGAAATCCATACCAGAATGAAGTTGCAACTTCTGTACATTGTGGTTGGCTTGGCTCTGGGCCTCGCGCAGTTCTCGAACTTCGCCATTCAGGTTGGAGATGGAACTTTGGAAGGTTTTGTGACAATGCTTTAATTCTCGGTTCTCATTCTTCAGGTCTGCAATGGAACTTTGGAGGCCATTGAGACTCTGCAAAAGCGAAGTAAAGACGTCTGCTGGGATCCGGATGATCGAAACAGGTGCTGCTTGTGCAAACTGAAGGAGTTGGTTGGTTAAATGGCTCTGTTCCACTTCCTCTGGGACATTGGTTCCCGCTGTTACTCCAATCCGAATATCATTCGTGAGAGCTTCGTGGGATGCCATATTCAAGGTTGATCCAAGTATGTTGTAGATAATGAAGGAAGATCTAGGAACGCGTAGCAGGAGGCTCGATGGTAGTTCAGAGAGACTGTCGAACTTGGGGCTCTTGTTCGAAGTACGTGGCGTAATGAGGAGAGGCTGTGGATGGCGTCGTTGGGGAATCTCGGGTTGCTGTGGCTTGATAGTTGACGTTTCGAGTCTTGTTCGAAGTGCGTTCAGTACAGTGGTTAAGGTGAGCGGATCGGATATGGTTTTGGGGAGGCTCGAAGACTCGAAGGCGCGACTCGATTTAGGTTCGAAGAAAGAGGACCGCTTTCGTGGATGATGGAGATGCCGTTGTTCTCGGCTCCGATTGAGCAATCAGAGATATCAAGGCACGGAAAAGGCAGTGCGGCGAATATTCTGCGAAAGTGGGTGCACTGTGACGGAGCAGGGAAGTAGAAGCAGTTGTGGTGGTGGGAGTAGGAGAAGGAAAGTCAACTCGAGGCTCACCTTTTGAAAAGTGCCGCCCGAATCTTCCAAGTCCACCACAGATCTTTCAACAAGCGAGGTTCCCAATTTGCCAAGTCTGAATTAAATTTCCAGTAGTAATTATATCATGGCAGTGCCAATTCTCTCGAACTGACTTCACAGTCATCTCCTAGTTCCCCCTGGGTAAATCTCCTAAATTTAAAAAAGCCACGTCTTGCTACATCCGAAGCAACGTCCATTCTCGCAATCGGATAATATCTAACTCTTTGGTCCTGTTGAAGACAATCTCCCTGTCGGGTGGTTCGCAGCTCGTTCCATGTTGTGGTGGGCTTCTTTGCACATACTTACCAAAACGTAGAGTCCTCTGACCAAGTTAGAAGTTTTGTTCTACGAAAGAACGTGAAGCACACTCAAGAGGAGCTGTTTGGATCTTGCGACGGAGGTAATGTGACCTTGTAGAAGGTGTTGTGGCATTAGAAGAGGAGGAAGTGGCCTCGTGAGGAGACGGCGTTGCTCGAGTAGCGTCGGAAGCCTACTTTTGAAGACACAGTCAGCTGTCGAGAGGTTGAAATAATATCAATTGATAGACGAGAGTGGCATCGTAGCCAAGGAAAAAGCTCCTATTTCCGAAGCCCCTGCTCGTCGTGGTGTTAGTTTTGAAGTCGTAGGTTGCGAGAGTACCGATGTTGCATGATAGAAGGTCTTCGCAAAAAGAGCGAGAAGACGCGAAGGCAATGGAGGCGACTCCGCTCCGTCGTAGTTTCCTTTTAGCGCCTTAAGCATGACCCTCGCTTACTATGTGCGCTCAAAAATATATCTTCAGCCAGGCTCGGCTCAAAAAAAAGGTTCAAACCAAGGAACCAAACAGCAAAAGCTCACAAGACAACCTAATCTGACTGTCGACTCGGGTCAGAAGAGGGTGTCAAGTTACGAAAACCACCGGACGGTTTTACTTCGATTCGAAAACTCGCCTTGAAATGCCGCAAGGTTCCAACAACATCGGGGTTGTTTAAAGCCGTCCCCTTAGTGGTTTAGATTTGCAACGGGAAGCATGTCTTCTCCTTGCGGAGCCCGCGCGCTTTAATACTAGCGAGCTAGTATGGGTCGCTGGGAGTTGTTAGTTATGGCTAAATTGTGGGGTGGCGGGTTAACTTACATGCCGTCTCGGGAGAGGCTCGGGTTGTCGATGGTGGAAAAACGCTGATTTGAGTATAAGAGACTTGGCCCATCGCTGGTTGTTCCGTCACATGATATAGACGGAGGAGCGAGGAGAGTAGCCTCGTGCACAAATGCGAGCGGAATCAACTTTCTGCAGTGCATGCATGTATTGAGCAGCACCTTGATCGTAAGGGCTTGCTCTCTCATAAACTCACTCGTGCTCTCGCACATTACAGTATGAATAGTAGCACACAGAAATGGAAGGGCCGCAGCAAGTCGCAGCATATTATCGCTGAATTGCAAGCATACAAGGTGTGCAGCAGCAGCACCCAGACGGCGATCGACCACGATTACGATGGTACGCTGCAGAGCAGATTTTTACCAAGGCCACCCATCAATTTCTGCGAGATCTTGTGATGGTCCGCCAAAGAAACTCCTTCCACAGCGTGCCATCCATCCACATATGGCGGGAATCTCATCTTCCAGATTCGCATTAAACAATGATTAAATGCGCATCAACACAAAAAACGGAACAAAAGAGTCAATTGGCTTGGGGGAACAGATTTCTATGCAAAACCAGATACCAATGGAAACGTTGAGTGGCATACTCGAAGTCGAGAGCTAGAGCACCCATGCTTGAGAGATGAACCCCGCATTTCCATCCGCATGGTCATACTTCAGATGGTTTATGATCCTCTGCGGGGCGTGTACCAATGTTTCGTTATCGCTTGGACTATTGAAGCGTTGTTATAAATAGAGAAGTTGGGATTTGGACTGAGATGTGGAAACTAGACTATGCCTGAAGAGATTCAGCATGAAGGCCCGCAGTCTGCACAATGCGCAGATTTGCCTCGATCAGCAATGATCTCCACCAAAAATCTCAAAGGTTTGAGTTCTTACACCGCAGTTTTGGCAGGCAGTTGCGTTTGTGCTGCGATGGGAACTCAAAAGTTTGGGCGGAGAAATGACATAGTTTGCCCAGAAGACGGAAAGAGTGCGGATATGCATGAATGTATCCAGCATTGACTACTGCGGCCTGCAATAGGCATAAACATATTTCAGATCATCTAAGATCTTCCGTAGGGGTTCGGACTTTCTTCCGGCGTTGGTTGCAAGTGCAGGCGTCTTTTATATATTGAAGTTTGTAATCCGGACTGAGGCTGCAACGCCACAACGCCGTTGCATGACGAGATTCAGCATTGACCCAGCGCCATGAGCAGGCATAAAATATAGTTCAGATCGACTACGATCTGCTGTAAGGTTCCGAACTTGCTTTCGTTGTCAGTTGTATGTGTTGGCGGTTTGTGGTGAGGAGAGGAGGTTGGGCTTGGATGGAGTGAGGTTGAAATTGGGGCTCTGCGGCAGCCCCACCTCGGTGCGTCAACAGTGGAGTCCGCCGAGGCTTGACGTATTAGCCACAATCAAAACTTCATATTGCTCACATATCTATCTTGCTCGTAACAGATTTCACAGTGTCTTAGAAAATCATGACAAGGGCAAGGTCAAATGTCTCGGGCGTTGAGATCTGGGGAAGCGGAAATTTGGACTGAACCTCTCAGGTTGGTCCACATCACGAGGCTGCTAAGTGTTTCAAAACAGTTTTGAGCCCGATATCTCTCTGGTAAGGCGTTCATCAATCAATACTGATTGGGCCATGTTAAAATTAACAGTTGACAGCCCGGGGGACACGCATGAACCAAATGATTGGCGAACGGGGGCGTCGTCGGGGGCCAACCTGATCCTGACCTCCAAGTGCAAAGCACAGTCTCTGTTTGTCCGGACATTTGTGAGCTTTGGCCACCTTCTGTTGCGCCTCATTTTCTGTTCCCCACCCACCAGGTTGTTCTCGGTATCTGAAGTAAGTGTTTTGAAGACATTGTGCTGTAAGTCACATGATCCTCGGTGAAGCTTCCCCTTTACCTTTGAACGAAGTCGTACCCCTTATTCCTCCCCCCCGAAATCGCTTCCCTGCATGAACTCCCACCCCATCCACATCCCACCATCCCACATCTCCCTTACTTATACCGGCGGTGACTGCAGTATGACATGGAAAAGCAAGCATGCCACCGAACCGCTCTGCCCTCGAATCAGGCCTCGCCCCCACCCTGTCAGAAGACAGAAGAGGCAGCCCAACAACGGAAAATCAGTTTCACCGCCGCCAAAACCCAATTTTTTGCCAGGGGGCTTCGGCGCGTGGAAACACGTCGCTCCAACGACCCGCAACCGAACAGCGCATTATCATTTTTGCGCGCTGCTGTCGAGGATCAATCACGCATTACCCTTACAACTAAGCATCCATAACAGCCCAAGTATACCCAATTGCCGGCAGCCCAATCCCAGCGAACGGTGAGTCTGATGTCGGTAGGTAAGAAAAACCCTCTCTCTTCCTCATACTCTCTTTCTGTGTCCTCAACCTCAATGAACCACAATTTCTTGCCTGTACAATGGCACCACCGAATACTCGACCGCCATCCCGGCCGCCCATCACCAGTCGAATCCGGTCTTCCTTCGAGAAACGACGGAAATCGAACGAAGTGCAAAGCCCGACATACACGAATGGCAACAGCAACCCCTTCATCACGCAAGATCCCGAATCCTTTCGAAAAGCTATCGACGAAGCTATCAACAGCGAGACCTTCCAGGATGCCATCGCCGCCAACCTTGCGAAGCTGATCAAGCCTTCGATCAAAACTGCTCTGGATACCATACAGCCGGTAGTGGAGGCGGTCTACAACCATGAGGTGCTGTTGAACAAGGCGAATCGCAGCGTGGAGAATATATTGGATCGGCTGGAGTCGAACACGGAGGCATATGCGCATCAGCGCGATTCTGTGGTTGAACCACATGATAAAGAAGTGGGAGATGCTCCTGCTGCAGATGTGGCAGATGAACCAAAAGCTGCAGAGGAGAAAGAGACGGCTCCCCCAGCAGAGCCCGCCCCGCCAGTGATCCAGGAGAGAGCAGTTGGCACCTCGACGCCATCTCCAGACTTTGCACAGTTCAAGCAATTGCTAGGCGAAATCAATGCCCGGACATCTGCATCCCTCACTGGGCTCTCGAGCTCCGTCGAAGCTAGCAATGGCAAGATCGCGGAAGCGCTGCACGGCATCAGCAATATACAAGCTACACTGGGACCTACGAAGGAGAATATTGATGCACTGAAAGTCTTTTCCGAGCAATCGACTACGACGGCGTCAGTGATGCAAGCTCAATTGGATCAGCTGAAAGCAGACGTCGGCCAGATCATGGATGCCATTGGAACCAACCTTGGGAAGAATGTGCAAGCACTACACGAGAAAGCTGCAGGCCAGGATACCTCGTTATTATCCTCGCATACCACCAAATTGGATGCCATTGCAACGGATCTTGGAGCTCTGAAGGGCCACTCAGATACCATGGGAAAGATCGAAGCGATCTCCGCCGAGCTCACAGGGTTGAAAGGAAGTGTTGACGCTGGCATTTCTTCGAATACAGCTTGCTTTACCAGCCTTGGCTCACAGATCACCAATGTTCTGAACACAATGGAAGGCCACACTAGCACCCTCGGAGAAATCAAAGACAGGGGAGCCCATCCCGATATTTTGGCCGCCTTGCAACAATCCAACGATTCGCATGCCGCGCATGCTACGGCTCTGGGCGAGATGAAAGAGAGGTCACTTGCCGCAGCTCCTGCAGCTGCTCCAGTTTCTGAGGGAAGCTCGGATACCACCGCGGTATTGCAAGATCTGAAAGCAGATCTCGCCTCTTTGAAAGAGAATATTGCTGCTGGACTTGCCGCCAACAATGAAAACGCCACCGGTTTGGGCGCAAAGATTGACACAGTTCTCACAACTGTCGAAGCACACAAGGCTGCAGATGCAAGTCCCGAGATTTTGGCAGCTGTACAGCAATCAAACGAATCCCATGCTTCTCATGCCACTGCTTTGGATGGAATCAAGTCTCTTGCCGCTGGGCCGGCCCCACCCGCCGAGACTGGAAACCTTGCGGCATTGGAAGCTCAGGTGGGCTCCATTGTTGGTGTGCTTGACGTACACACTGCAGCTTTGGATGAGATCAAGACTGCAAGCAGCGCCCATGCCACGGCCTTGGAGGCACACACTGCGGCTTTGGATGAGATCAAGACTGCAAGCAGCTCCCATGCCACGGCCTTGGAGGCACACGCTGCGGCTTTGGGTGAGATCAAGACTGCAGGCAGTTCCCATGCCACGGCCTTGGAAGAAGTCAGGTCCATCAGCACTGCGCCAGCTCCAGCTGATCACTCTGCTCTGGAAAGCCAGATCACTGCTTTGGTTACGACCCTTGAGGGTCATACCGCAGCTTTGGACGAGATTAAGACTGCAAGCACTTCTCACGCTATAGCTCTGGAAGATGTGAAATCTCTTGGGTCCGCTCCAGTTCCGGTGGATAACTCAGCCCTGGAGAGCCAGATTGCTGCTCTATCCACGTCTCTTGAAGGTCACAAGTCGACCCTGGACGAGATCAACGCTGCTAGCAGTACTCACGCCGCTGCACTGGATGAAGTCAAGGCTCTCGGCTCAGCTCCAACCGATAACATTGCTTTAGAAAGCCAGATTAGTGCTCTGGCCACCTCTCTTGAAGGTCACAAGTCGGCCCTGGACGAGCTGAACGCTGCTAGCAGTACTCATGCCGCTGCACTGGATGAACTCAAGGCTCTCGGTTCGGCTCCAACCGATAACACTGCCTTAGAAAGCCAGATTAGTACTCTGGCCACATCTCTTGAGACTCACAAGTCGACCTTAGACGAGATCAAGGCTGCTAGCAGTTCTCACGTCGCTGCACTGGAAGAAGTCAAGGCTCTCGGCTCAGCGCCAGCTCCAGCCGATAACACTGCTTTGGAAAGCCAGATTAGTACCCTTGCTGCCACTCTTGAAACTCACACCTCCGCCTTGAATGAGATCAAGTCAACTGTTGGGTTACACTCATCAGCTTTGGATGAATTAAAGACCGCCGGCACCTCGCACGCCACTGCATTAGAAGGGGTCAAGTCTCTGGGCCCTGTGCCGGTTCCAGCTGAGATCGACCTCTCCGGCCTGGAAAGCCAGATTTCTGCTCTAACCGCAACCCTCGAGACGCATTCTGCCGCTTTAGATGAGATCAAGTCTACTGGCGGATTACATTCGGCAGCATTGGACGAGATCAAATCGACAAGCACGTCACATGCCGCTGCATTAGAAAGTGCAAGATCTCTTGGTGCAGAGCCTGCTCCTGTCGCTGACGGTAATCACCTAGCATCACTTGAAACACAGATTGGTGCTATTGTTGCGACTCTTGCATTACACACCTCAACCTTGGACGAGCTGAAATCTGAACACGGTTCTCACAGTGCGGCTGTGATCGGCGCTCTTGACACTCACACCTCAGCTCTGGACGAGATCAAGGGCTCTACAGCTTTCCATGCCACCGCTCTGGAGCAAGTCAGATCAATCGGTGACACTCCTCCAGTAGCAGACAATAGTAATCTTGCAGCACTAGAAGCACAAGTTGCCGCGATTGCCGTCACTCTTGGAGCTCACACCACCGTGTTGGACTATATCAAGACAAATGGGACACCAGCCGACACTGCTGTCGTACCAACAAGCAACTCGGATGCTCTCGAGGGCCATTTAAGCACTATCATTGAGACACTTGATGCACACACCAATCTGCTTAATGAGATCAAGGACGACGTTGGCGCGGAGATCCTCACCACACTGCACGGACTGGGTCAATCGCAAACACAACATGGTGACATGCTTGCTGAGATCAGAGAAGCCGATGTCAGTGATGAGATCTTGACATTACTTCATGCCCATGGCGAGTCACATACCGGTCATGGAGCAACTTTGGGCCAGATTCATGAAAGTGTCCAGACCTTGAATGCATCGCACGCTGCTCATGGTGCAGCACTTGAAGAGATCAAGTCAAGATCTGTTGAGCCTGCTCCTGCCAGCGACGGCAGCATTACTGATGCCTTGGAAGCAAAGATTGATGGAATCACAAGTACATTAGAAGCACACAATACAGCTCTGTCGTCCATTCAAGAATCGCATGCCTCTCATACCGAGGTTTTGAAAGAGATCGCAGATGCAACAGCGATCTGCAATGAATCACATGCTGATCACGCGCTTGCGCTGGGCGAAATCAAGGATATCAGTTCTGCTTCAAATGAGGCACATTCCTCTCATATTGCTACTCTGGCAGATATCAAGGAAGCAACGACAGCTTCGAATGAGGCACATACTTCTCACGCCGCTGCATTAGACGAATTGAAGACTGCACAATCCGCCAGCGCTGCCATTGCTTCACGCTCGGAGAGTCCAGATATCGCAGGACTGGAAACGCAACTCAACAACATCATCATCACCCTCGAACGCCAGACTGCCACTTTGTCATCGCTCAAGGACTCCGCTTTAGACAATTCTATTTCTGAGGCAGTTCTGGGATCGCACGACCTGCTCATTTCGCACACCACGCTACTCAACGCCATCAAAGATAACTCATCCCACGAAGATATTGTGTCCAATATCTCGGATCTCAAGGCCCTTGTAGCAGAGTCGAAATCTGGTATTGATGAGCACTCGACTCTAGTCCGGGACCTCCACTCCGATACCAAAGAGGCTCATTCGAATCTCACATCAGCCATTGCAGGTCTCGCTCTTGGTGGAGCAGCAGGCGCAGGAGCCGGTGCGCTGATGTCCCACGAATCCGACAACTCCTCTACCGAAATCCTCACCGAAGTGAAGTCCGTGAAAGAAAAGGTCGATTTCGTAGTAAGCCAACTTGAGATCAACCACACCACTGTCACAACAAGAATCACAACCCTAAGCGACGAGCTGAAAGCCGAGATTGACGCAACAGGCACCCAGATTACGGAATCCATCACAAAGATGGACACCGACCTCAAGTCTTTCGAAATTGATCTCAAGCCCATCACTTCCGCTGTCGAGCACACTGGCTTAGTTGTCAAGGACCTCTCGTCCCAAATCGGCAATCTCGAAAGCCATATCTCAGACAACACTTCCAAAGTCAATGAGATACACCAAGGCGTGCATCTCAACGACACGGGTATCTCTCAACTGCAAGAGCATGCGGGAACGAGAGAGGTTGTCAGCCAAGCTGTGCCAGAGGGGATGTGGTTTGGAAGCGGCAGCCCGAGTGCCAAGCGGCTGTCGAATCCATTTGAGCACTCTAGTGTCCCGGTTGAGGAACCGGAGGCGGAGGAACCGGAGGTGGAGGAAGAGCAGAAGGAACATGGGCAGGCATTGGAGGCGATTCCAGAGGTGGATACGCCGCTTGAGGAGAGTCCTGTTAAGGATGAGTTTGAGAATGAGGCGAGAGAGCCGACGATAGAGGAGGAGGAGGGTGGGCCTGCTGAGCATGAGGTTGAGCAGGAAGCTTCTCATGTTGAGCCTGAGATTTCACATCAGGACACCGAAGAAGAGAGTGCTCCTGTCGAACCCGAGATCCCACATCAGGATGCTGAAGAAGAGAGTACTCCTGTTGAACCCGAGATCTCGCATCAAGATGTGGAGGTAGAGAGTACTCCTATTGAGCCTGAGGCCTCGGACCAGGACACCAAAGAAGAGTGTACTCCTGTCGAACCCGAGGCCTCGCATCAGGATATGGAGGTGGAGGGTATTCCTATTGAGCCCGAGGTCTCACATCATGACGTTGAAGAAGAGAGTACTCCTGTCGAACCTGAAGTCCCACGTCAGGACACCGAAGAAGAGAGTGCCCCTGTTGAACCTGAGATCCCACATCAGGACGCCGAAGAAGAGAGTGCTCCTGTCGAACCCAAGGTTTCACATCAGGACATCGAAGAAGAGAGTGCTCCTGTTGAACCCGAGGTTCCACATCAAGATGTGGAGGTAGAGTGTACTTCTGTTGAGCCTGAGGTCTTGTACCAGGATACCAAAGAAGATTGTACTCCTGTCGAACCCGAGGTCCCACATCAAGATGTGGAGGTAGAGAGTATTCCTATTGAGCCTCAGGTCTCGCATCATGATGTGATGGAGGTTGAGAGCACTCCTATCGAGCCTGAGGTCTCGCACCAGGCTGCCGAAGAGGGGAGTGCTCCTGTCGAACCCGAGGTCTCGCATCATGATGTGGTGGAGGCTGAGAGTACTCCTATTGAGCCTGAGGTCTCGCATCATGATGTGGTGGAGGTTGAGAGCACTCCTATCGAGCCTGAGGTCTCGCATCAGGATGTAGAGGTAGAGAGTACTCCTGTTGAGCCCGAGGCCTCGCATCACGACGCTGAGGAAGCGAATGCTCCCGTCGAACCTGAAATCTTACAACAGGCAGTTGAGGAAGAATCTCCGGCCGAGGTCCATCCCGATATCTCACAGGAAGATGAGGAGATCCCCGAAGCTGGGCATGATGCAGGGTCCCACTCCGTCGAGCATGAAGGCGTGGAACCCGAACCGGAGACTTTGGAGGAGAGCAAAGAGATTCCAGCCAATGCTGAGCCCGAGTTCGACTATGTCGAAGTAAGCAAGGACGACATCCCAGAGTCTCGTAGTGCGGAGCACGAAGGGGTGGAAGAGCCTGCTCCCGAGATTCCACATGCCAGTCATGATGATGTGGCTGAGGAGAGTGTTCCAGCCAGCCATGAAGAGGAGTTGCATGAGGAAGATATTCCTGCTAGCGGCCAAGAAGTGGAAGCTGGGGAGGACGCGCCAATTCCTCATACGGAAGAATATCAGCACGTGGTAGCGGAAGATGAGCCTACCCATGAAGAGGCGCCCAAGGAGCCAGAGGTCCACCACGAGCCTGAAGCCGTTGAGGAGCCGCTAGAAGATAGCCCAGAACACGAAGCTCACGAGGTGTCCGAGCTGGAGCCTGCTTTAGAATACCACGAGCCGGAACATGCCCATGAGAGCCATGAAGAGGCGCCCAAGGAGCCAGAGGTCCACTACGAGCCTGAAGCCGTTGAGGAGCCGCTAGAAGATAGCCCAGAACACGAAGCTCACGAGATCTCTGAGCTGGAGCTTGCTTTAGAATACCACGAGCCGGAACATGCCCATGAGAGCGCAATAGAGGAGCCGGAAGTCCATCACGAGCCTGAAATAGTTGAGGAACCTGTAGAGGCAAGTCTAGATTACGGAGCTCACGAGGTCTCTGAGCTAGAGCCTATTTTGGAACACCATGAGCCAGAACATGCCCATGAGGGCGCAATAGAGGAGCCAGAAGTTCGCCACGAGCCAGAAACAGGTGAAGAACCTGCAGAGCCAGGTCTAGATCACGGAGCTCACGAAGTCCCCGAGCCGGAGCCTACTTTGGAACCCCGCGAGCCAGAACATACCCATGAGAGCGCGATAGAGGAGCCAGAAGTCCATCACGAGCCTGAAATAGTCGAGGAACCTGCAAAAGCAAGTCCAGATCCCGAAATTTCCCACGATATACCAGAACCAGAGCCAGCTTCAGAGCCTCATGAAAAGGGAGCCGAACCGGAACTAGCTCCAGAGCACGACCCTGATCACCAAATTCCCGAATCAACCGCTCTCGAAGAACACCACACAGCTCCCGAGCCCGACCACCTCCACGAGGCAGCCGATCTCGACGAGTCCTCATTCAGCCAGTCCGCCCCTCACCACCCTCTACCAGCCGAAGAGCCCGAACTCCCTCTCACCACCTCCCACGACCAGGAACCCACCGAGCATGACCATGCTGATCCAGAGCCCACTCCCCCCACTTCACCTCTCGAAAACGAGCCTGTCCCCGTCCTCTCTCCTTCCACACAAACGAACCCCTTCTCTGATCCCGAGGAAGAGGATTTAGAGAGTGCGTCGGCATCAGCGTCTACGAGCGCGATTGCAAGCCCGATGTCCGGCTCGTTTACGGAGCATGCAGAAGGAGGTGGTGCATCGAAGGGCGGGAAGAAGAAGAAGAAGAAGAAGAAGGGGAAGAAGGATAAGAAGAAGGGGGAGGAGAAGGTGCCGTTGGTGATGGATGGGCAGGACCCTGTAGAGGGTGCAGAGTAGATATCGGCTTCGGGAATGGAAACGGCCTTTGATTTCTATTTCTTACTGTCTATAAAAAGGTTGGAATGGGAGGGTTGGGTTGGATATGGATAGGACATGGACATGGGCATATATGCTTTTCTCTTTCTCGTTGGGATGGAAGGAACTTCTGCTGTGTTTATGCTGGGGTATATATCTTATATCCTTCTAGTCGAAGGTTTTCTTTGGAAGGGTATGTAGGAAGAGATGAGTCAAGATTGAATAGATTGATAGGATGATCAGATTGAGTTTGCCTTCATTTCACCAAGGTTTGAGCTTCCTGCCTCCTGTTCAACACTCCCAAGTAGCTCGCCCCTATTGTGGGCCTTGTTGGTCACGCGGGCCAATTATATGTAGAGCACTAGTCCCCTTTCAGCTTCAAGGGGCCCGAGCGATACACCGCTCGACTTTCCTTTTGCAACACTGGATAATCATTGGGTGTTCAAAGCTCGTACTCACCTATACTTTCGCAAGTTCAAGTGTCTAAACAAACACGACCATCGAAACCCCTATCACGGCCACCGGTACAGCCCTGCATCAGCTTCGTGATGGTTTTCAAAGGGCGGCCGAGTCGCGGATGCGAAAACTGCAGGTAAGTCTTCCATCTACGACTAAAGAATGTCATCTGACATCGCATGTAGGAAACTGCATACAAAAGTCAGTGTCGTTTCCCAGATTCTGTCAAGCCATGTGCTTATCCATAGCAGTGCGATGAAACCCGCCCAGAATGTTCGCGCTGTGTGCGGACGAAAAGGAGGTGCGGTGGTTACCGAGACGAGGTCGACCTCATATTCCGCCACACGGATGCCAAGCCGAAGGAGAGAACCCGGAAGTCAGGAACGAAGAGCAGCAAATACCTTTCTCCTGCTGCTGGCTCCGACACCTCACATGACCTCACAAGGTTGCCCACTGGAAAGGAGAGTCGCTTCCTCCTGCTCGGCATCGGCCCGCCCTCCATAGACGACCTCCCCTTATGTTTCTTCTATCAAACGACGTTAGAATCACTTACTAATGCCGATCGTGCTCGATACCTCCACCTCCAGCTCCCGACTCTCATTTCTCGTAGCGAAGCAGGATCTGCTTTGCACCTGGCTATGCAGGCGATATCTCTCGCTGTCTGGGCAAGATCACGGCCCAACGATCGCAGTGCCAGTCAATTGTCGAGAACGCGGTATTCCCAATCGCTCGCGGCGATGAATGCTGCTATCCGAGATCCGGCTAAAGTCAAGCGTGATGAGACATTGTATGCTGTTCTCTTACTTTCTGGTTATGAGGTTCGTGTTCTTCAGCTTCGATCTTGGTTAAAGTTCCTGCAACCTACTCTGATGGATGTTAATGTCGTAACTGTGATAGACAATCACGTTCGATTCAGAAGCATTATACGCATGGGGTACCCATATTGACGGCGCTGCCTCTCTCCTCCGAAGCCGTGGCAAGGACAACTTCAGCACGCCTTTCGCGTGCAACATGTTTCTTTTTATCCGACGGAACGCGGTAAGCTTTTCCCCATCTACAGTCTACTGGCCGCTGACAGAGCCATCACAGATTCAAAGCCACCTACAAATCTCCAAGCCTATCGACCCGATCTTCGACGGGTCCGCTGAGAAGCTCTCGCTGTACGAGAATGTCGAAGACCGACTTCTCTCCAAAGCCATGCGCATCCCCGCCCTCCAATCTTTAGCCAACATCATTCTCTCACAACCCAGCTACGCCGTAGACTACAGCGTAGCGTTCGAGCTCATCCGAGCGGCTGAGACCTTGGATGTGGAGCTTGCAGATTGGGCACGACGGATTCCGCGCAAGGGGGCTTACACAACCATTACACTTATGAGATATTATCCTCCTGCAGAATCTTCAAGCTCGGGCTTCGTTCCAAATCTGATCCATCAATATCCCGGGTTTTACGTCGCCCGTGTGTGGAACTTGTACCGCGTTTATCGTCTGATTATCCAATCAATCCTGGTCCGTGTCTCCTCGTTCGTGTCTCTCCACCACACAGCGCATGAACAGGACTACATACGCATAGAAAAGATCAACAGGGCAATGGTAGACGACGTGTGTGCCAGCGTTCCATTCCTCCTTGGATACGACTTATCGGACCTGAAATTGCATCCTCCTTTTGAACATCTCCGGGACGAAAACTGCTTGTGGCCGCAAAACTCGATGGAAGCTAGTAGCTCTGGGCCAACGGGGAAGTTCTCACTTATATGGCCCTTGTACGTTGCGTGCAGTGTGCCGTCGGCCCCAGAAACTCAACGGAAGTGGATAAGGGCGCAGCTGAAGTGGATTGCTGGCACGGGGGAAGCGCATGCTCATCTCGTTATGGACGCCGACAGCCAGACTCTGTTTGGGGGGCCTGAGAGCTTTAGATTTGATTGTGTGTGAAGTATAGGAATTTGAAGGCGAGTGATTGGAAGGATGACTTCAGGGGCGGCCTGAACCCGCCTAACCATAAGAGGAAATCGTTGAGATGGCCAATCAGAGGTTGCGCTTACACGTGATATGGCCTCGAAATAGGTTCTCGTCTCCCTGGTCTATTGACTTCTGGAAAATGAAATGAAGTCGGCGATGCAATGGCGGGTCGGTGGCCAAACTGGTTCTTAATTTACCTGATCCTGGTGTCGCGGTGGCTTTGGGAGGCTAGTGTTTTCGAGCTGGCAAGACCTCGACCAATGTGTTCGACTACTTAAAGCCCAGCATCCCCAAAGTTAGAATCGCCATTACCTGTTGACGACTAATTCCAACTCCACTTATTGCAGAACTTAATTTTGGAAATAATTTCTAGAATCCTTCGCTGCCTCGGAATGACTTCCAGTCGCCATGCATCTCGGTCCGCAGATGTCGAAGAGTCAAAGACTCATCTCGTTACGCTCGCAGATTATGGTCTCAACACCGTGTTTTCAGCGAAGCAGAAGCTATCACCTTTGGATATGAACATGCCAAGACTGTACGGTTCTCGATGGACCCTCTGCTTCCCTCTGCCGGATGGTGCGACTAAAACTCAGATGTAAGTTCGCTGGCTTTCGTTATATGGGGATCGACATCTCTGACGTGCTTTCATACAGCTTTGAGAATTTGAGAAGGGGTCTAGCGTACACGATCTCCGCTATACCTTGGCTTTCTGGAGACGTGGTATGTTTTTCACACTTTATCCGTCGAGTGTCGAGTTTTGTTTGCTGCCACGTTCAGAAAATTACCGGCTGATACATAGAACAGGGACCAGAAGAAGGCAGTGATCCAAAAGACTGCAGAGTTCAGGTGGTAGAAGGGTCTGGTGGCGTTGAGTTGCGGTATTTCTCTCGAGGTTCTCGTATCTAGAGGCTAGCTGACACCAATACAGATACAAAGATCTCACAGAAATCCTGCCATCCTACAATGAGTTCAAGAAAGACAACTTCACATTCTCCAAGCTCACGACTCACCTGATTTCTCCACTTCAGGTCATACAGAAGTCTCAACCTGTTTTTGCTGCACAAGCAAACTTCGTCAAAGGTGGACTCCTCCTCACATTCGGAGTCCATCACTCTGTGTGCGACGGTATCGGACTGGATCATATCCTCGAGATATGGGCACTCAACGCAGGCGTCACCAGCGACTCAGGACCACTCAGCAAGTACGATCCGATCTCGAACGACCGCACGCCCTTGGGCGAGGGTCTTCCCGGGACCAACATCGCCGACTTCCCCGAATACCTGCTCATGCCCACTCCACCCGCCTCCGCATCTTCTCTAGCGCCGCCAACCTACCAACTCCCTCCCATGACCTCCAAAATCTTCTACGTTTCACCAGAACACCTCGGTGACCTCAAACTCGCAGCAGAAGCATTCTCCACCAACGACGCCCTGTGCGCCTTCTTCTGGCACCACATGACCCTCGCTCGAAACCCATCCCCAGATCCCACTGATGAAAAAACCTCCGCCGTCCTCTTCGCCGTCAACATCCGCAACCGCACCAGCCCTCCGCTCCCTCAAACATACCTAGGAAACGCCTCCCTGGGCGGCATCACGCAGCGACTCTCCATCCCCTCTCTCACCCACCCCAAGACTGGACTCACTCACGCCGCAGCAGCGCTCCGCGCCGCTCTCAACGCCATCCACAAACCTTCCCGCGTACCACTCACGATCGGGCTCTTGAGCTCACGTCCTAATGCGCAGGACTTCAAGTTTGCTGCTAATGCGTTCTTGGGGAGTGATGTTACGATGACGAGTTGGGCGGGGATGGGGGTTAGGGACAGAGAATGGGGGAACTTGGGTAAGCCGGAAGGGTTTAGGGTCCCGTATGAGTGCGCGGATGGTATTGTGGCTGTTTTCCCGAGGTTGGAGGGTGGGGGGCTGGAAGTTATGGCGGGTTTGGAAACGGAGGCGATGGAGAGGATGATGAAGAATCCGATATTTTTGCAGTTCGCCGAAGAGCTGTAAGCAGTGGGGAATATCAGACAAGCACCTGTTTTCTGCAGCTGGTGCGGTTGAGGCTGTTGGATGTGGCCCCAAGTCAGGAGACGTCCTTTTATGTTAGATATGGAATTTCTCGGGCAGTTAGAGGAAAACCTGGCCCTGTAGTATTCTCCTAACTATTAAGCCTTATAATTCGTGCAAATATCCCACTCTCCTAACTTTGTTTACCATTATTCCACAAGCAGAATTCCTCTGCTTTCAAGATCCTAAAAAAAAACCTCACTAACTATATAAAACAATCCTTCTTCAAGTATATAATATATATTAAATATAACCTTAGTAAATAATTAAGGCAAAAATGCGCAAATTGACCTCTTATATACTCTCTCAAGCTATTACTTTTAGCGACTTGGAAGTAATGCTTAAGTGGGCAGCACCCAAATTCTTTAGTCGAGTGAGTTGTGTATAAGTGTTTCTCTGGCTGAGCTCGAGAAACGGTTTATAATCTAATTTAGCCTACATAGAAAAGCCTAAGGCTAGAAAAAGAAAATGATAATCAAAAAAGTAAAAGAACTAAATGCTTTTTAAGGACTAAATACTCTGCCTTCCATACCTAATATACTCTAACCTTCTAGTAATTTAAAAGCACTATTCCCTTGCATGCCGGCAGACTTGTGCCGGTAGTGACCTATAACATGTTTGCTCTTTGTCACCTCCGTGAAAATTAAGTGATTAGACTAGAAATAACTCCAGATAGTAGGGCATCGATAGATAGTGAAAAATACAGCCTGCCCATCATGAAGCGTTCATTTAACAATTACACTTCTTACAGGTGGGATTAACCCCAACTCAAGACATCCGTGTCTGCTTTTCATTTCAAGAGTAGCCTCCTTCTCGCCAGTAATTGAACTCCAGAAACAGAAAGGTATGCCACTTGCTGCAAAAAGATGAGGTTACATATAGTTCTTCACTAGAATTAATAGGGAAATGTTTCCGTCAACCAAGGCATCATAGTTATTCTTTATATCTTCATTATTATTTGAAAAAGTAAACCTTAGGTACTGTCATCACAGAAACAATCTCGAAAGCTATCCCTTTCTCCCACCCTGACTCACCACTTAGACATCTCTCTTCTCGGCCTTAGTAGTGGTCACTTTTCTCACCACCTAATTATACCTACATTACTTGGTACTAAACTACTAAGAAGTCGAAGAATTCTACCTTTTATAACATCTAAATAAATTGAATTAGAGGAGTGGCGTATCAAGCTACAACAACAATTACAATGTGTATGTCCGAAGTGAAGCTGTCGTAAGGCTGGCTAAATTCTTGAGGAAATACAGTTGTTTATCCCAATGCCCGCGCAAAATAATGCACACCTCATCTGTTCATCTTCTGTCCTCGCTTTCACCATTACCCTTCTGCAATCCACAATCAGTGTGGCACATCGACTGAAGCAGTCGTTGAAGTTTTATTGACTGTGGTATTCGGCTCTTCCAACAACTGAGGGTGGGTGATTGCGAGCTTGTTATCAATAACAGCGTCCTCGATTCTGCCGCTCATGAAGGCTAATGGTATGTTTGGTCCCCAGACAAAAAGAGTCTGCGGCGCTGCTGGTTCGCGTGTAACTTTAGTGTCGATATTGACAAGGTCACCATCGGAGTAATGCTCAAGGACGTTGCCTGATGCGTCGAACCTTCAGTTCCATTCGTTGTCAGAAAAATTCGTAGAAAGAGCAGAGTCGAGGGCAATCATACCAGTAATCAAAAATTTGGCTTCCCAACAGATGTCGGCCCACTCCCCAGCAGTTGACCCATCCCCCGTTGCGTAACCAGTCATGACCTAGCAGCTGTGTATCCATGTCATGCACTAAATCAATAATAAGCCTCGGCTCTGACTAAAACACTCTTGGAACTCAAATTCTCACATACAACATACCTTCGAAGCTTGAATGATGTATATGAGACGGCTTGTCTTCAGGTCCTGCGGCCAGAAACAAACTCTAAGCCAGAAAATTGATCGTCAGTCATTTCTGTACAGTACACCAGAGATATGTGATAGAGATGGGCCACTAGAAAACAAAGAAAATTTGCACTTACATGGTGATCTGTGTACTCCTTGCCTTTGTCGATATGTAAAAATGAAGTCTCGTCCACATTTGACTCTGGGTCGAAAACAGAATCTGTGACTTTAAGGTTGAATGTCCTCGTGTACCACTCTCTCGTCGAAAAGAATGTACTTTTTCGTACCACAAATCCGTAGTGACCGAGTTTGTGCACTGGGCTCGGACCAGGCTTGAACCTCTGAAACACACCGACCCGAGGCTTCACGCAAGCTGAGTTCATCTCTACTTGGTGCAGACTTTTGGAGTGCGAACTTAAGATCTGTCCGAAGACCAACATGATGTTGTGGCCATTTGGATCTTTGAGAGTGACCGTGCTCCCTCCACCTGGTACGTCGGAATCCGCAATCTGGGAGGCACCCGGTAGTGCTGCTGCATCCTCCAAGTCACGATATGACTCCACAACCCAAGCGCCACCGACAAAATTCCGGTTTGGGGTGGGAGATGCCTCCGCTACATATATACACGGTGCTGCTCCGAAGCCTCTGTAGTAAATGCGATTTTCTGTTTCCTTCACCTTTTCCATTCCAAAATCGGTGAGGAAGCGATGAGCTTTGGACAAATCAGGATGCTGGTAATGAACATACGCGAGTCGATCGAGTCTGATTTTCCTGGGGTCTTCCGTTTCACCAGCGCTGCCATTCGAGCCATTGGCGGTCACTGCCATTTTGGATACTAGGAGATTTTCAGATGATAGTGCTAGGAAAGGTTTGGTTGAAAGCGCTGTTGCATGATACTCTCGTCTCGTTTTAGCATACAACCTTGGGTTCGGAGTGGCGGCATCAGCCGGTGAATCACGGACTTCCGTACACGGACGTCCCAACACCGGCCTCCGCCGGGGAAATAGCGTTGTGGGTGGAAAGAATAGTTATTGCAAAACACCATCCTTCCACCATCCATACGACATTCAGGAACAGCCACCCTATCACGTGAATACTTTACTATTCGGCATGAATTTCCAGAGATTGATCCGTTTCAAAACCGAATATGGGAAAATATGGTATGGCGATACTGGAGACAACACGAAAGACTTCGTGGGCACGAAAGTGCCAGTTTTGACTGGTGATCCTTTTAGTTGGCTTTCAAACAACGAAGAAGCCAAGACAGTGAAAGAGGTTCGAATTCCTACTGGAATACTGGAAGCCCCATCTAATATCCGGGACTCGCTACTTACGAGTTGAACAGGTACTGTACCCTCTTGAACAAGCGCACACGATTATCTGCATCAGTCTGAACCACCAGCAGAATGCTATCGAAGCAAGTGTAAGTTCGCGCTGATCTCTCTTGAACGTCTGTGCATTTGCTAACTACTTCTTTGCTGAAGCTAAAAGTTCTGCCATTACCGGTAGTCTTATGAAGCCTCCGGGTGCTCTTGCAGGCCCTTTTGACGATGTTTCAATACACCCAACTGTACAAGGTCAACTTGACTATGAGAGTGAGATGACAGTCTTGATCGGAAAAGATGGAAAGAATATCTCCGAAGCAGACGCTTTAGACTACATCCTAGGCTACACCGCCGGGAATGCTATCTCGGCACGGAACTTTCAACTCCCGGATATTTCCGGGGGTCAATTCTGTTGTGCAAAATCATTTGATGCATTTGCTCTGATTGGTCCTTGCATTGTATCTCCTTCACTGATTCCAGATCCGCAGAAGTTGACATATTCTACAAAAGTGAACGGAGAGGTCAGGCAAAAGAGCGGGACGGATGATATGATATGGTCATCAAGGCAGAATATTGCCCATTTGAGCAGAGGAACAACTTTACGTCGTGGGACTGCGATCATGACTGGCACGTCGTCCGGGGTAGGGTTCTCTATGAAAGACAAGCATGGATTCCTGAATGATGGTGACACCGTTGAGGTCGAGATCAGCGAGATTGGTGCAATTAGAAACAAGATGGTTTACGAGAAATGATTCTTCGAATACAGATAATCCTGTTCTCGTAAATATTCGTGGCATGTCTGGTAGCTTTTGAGCGAGCTATTAAAATCGAAGCCCCCAGCCGTGACAACTACGAACCCTGCTGCATCGGTGTGTACATTTTACATTCTGAATGCACCAAAAGTCCATGTTGTCATTGGATTTAAGAGCATGCAGGTTAATTTCAATCTCGTACAGTCTTGTAATCAGTATTTCCGATGTAATCTACACTGAAACTAGACCTCCCCAAGTCCGCTTCCGTCTTTGAGCCTGAGCAGTCATTGCTCTAACCTGAGCCGAGCCCTGGGCTCTGAGCGTACTAATGAGTCAGCGGGGTCATGCTGGGGGGGACCCTTTTGGCTCCCTTGAGAGTCGGTTACAGTTTCTATATTGTCTATATATAGAATTTTGGAGATCCATATTGCCGATGAAATGGTCACCTCTTTGAACCTATCAAAATATCGTAATGGTGTCTGTTCCCGTTCCCCCGTTAACCTTGCACCTGTTTTGCGGGAGGCTGGAGCCGATTCTGGATACTGTCATCCTGCTGCTGCTAATAATCCTACGTGAATAATAATATAACCTCCGCGAACGTTTTGAACTTCACGTATTACCTCACAATAGCCTATATTTGTTAAATTATTTAGCAATGGCTCGCTTTCTTTTCGCTATAAAAATATCACCGTCTAGGATAACGCCAACCAAATAGCCGCTGAATATTACAAATCTCCCTCGGCCTCGTTCGCAGTTCCAAATCTCATGGACTGCATGTGTTATTCGATGCGCCCTGAAGAGCATATATGTTCACACAGGACGCTGTACACCTCCTTCTTCAGCTAACCCAGAAAGTTCCTCAAATGTCAAATGTTGGAGAGCGTCGTGGAAGATATCATCTGAGATGTCACTCTTTCCACTCGGAGATATAGGGCTTTGGTTCGCCGTTGGTACTCGAATGGTTTCTAGTAGATCGCGAAAAGCAGTTAACCATTCAGTATCAGTTGGTGTTTTCTCAAAAACCAATTTCTCCATCTCAAGACGCTTTTCAGCCACATCTATTGCTGTCAATCCTGTGGCTGTCTTATCATGGACGCTTAAGTCTTTCAACGGCGACCGGGTGAGGATCTGAAGAGTCTTTATGTCACCGACCTCGGCTGCCCAATGGAGAACTGTTTTCTGAGAGCTGTCGCACACAGAGTGGACAACATGAATATCAGAATGCAACAAGACCTTCAAGGCAGCGTGGCTATTATGACGAACACCCTGCATGAAAGGGTTCATGCCAAAGTGGTCAATCACATTGACATTGGCCTGGTGATCGAGCAGAAGTTGTACCGCCTCTGGAGCATTGAATTTTACAGCTTCCATCAGGGCACTTGAGCCTTGGAAATCAACAGCATTGACATCGGTCCCGGCTAGAAGGAGTGCTGTAGTGAATGGTAAAGGCTGTGGATGGAACACAGAGCTGATTAGGGCCGTCTGCTCCCAGTTATCTCGATAATTGACATTCGCGCCAGCTTGCAACAGGAGACTAGTACATGTGCTATCAAATGCTTTCATGCTTTGCCGCAATGGGCCTTGCCCAATCCGATCGGCAATGTTGGGATCCGCCCCATATTGTAGTAAAGTATCTACTGCCACATGATCGCCACGTGCGGCAGCGTATGAAAGAGCAGTACGACCGTCTGCATCGACTTGGTTGATCAAATCTCGACTGCGACAGAGCTCTTTTTCCAAGTCACAATGGAGGATTCGGTTAATGATTTTGTGGATTTTGGTAAATTTTCTGCGCTCCTCGATGGAGTCGAGACTTGGGAATAAAGCTCTCATTTCTTCCACGCGCCAAGTCGCTGCGTTGGGGGTATCCTGAAAGCAGAGAATCGTGCTCCAAGCCATGTCATATGGGGTCCTGTAATGGGTGAGCTGCAGTACTACGAAGATAACTGGGCACATACTCTTGGGCAACATTTTCTAAGTACGGTTCGGCTCCCAGCTCTAGGAGAGCTTTGACTACGTCAACATGGCTTTGCTTGACTGCCAAATGCAGTGCAGAATGTCCATCGTCGTCGGTGACATCCAGTACAGAAGCCTTGCCATTGTAGATCAAGGATCTTACCAGACCAGCATCATTACGTCCAGCGCCAATAAATATAGGCTCGAATGTACTTCGGACATTCAACATACGTAGGGAGTATTCCGGCTTTTGAAAATCGGATATTCTCAGACTGAAAGTTACAACTCGGGCTAGAAACCAGGGTGGGAAGTAATAATTGATTTGAACGAAGCTTTGAGCCGTACCGTTACAGGTATCAGGCAGATCGCAAGATCCAGTCAACGCTGGGAAGCCAGCATAGCCGACAAAGAGTTGGCCAACAATTGTCTGAAGTAATTGGGGGGTATGAAGACGAGTATGGGCGTGGCAACGGCAGGAACACCATGGATGGCATTTCCGTCGCCGGAGAAAACGCATGCGAAGTGCACTAAACTGGGCATCTTCCAAGAGCGCACCAGGAGAGTCACTATATCTTCGTCCTTGCGCCTCTTCGGCTCCAATGGGAGGTCGGAGTTGCTTCTCAACAGCTCGCACTTCTTGTTCCTCCTTGTCATGATTTTCACACCTTTGTTGACATTCGAGGATTTGGCGCAGAGTTTCGGTGTGTCGGTCTATCGACTGGGAGATATAAGCATTGCCTTTAACAGCGAGTGACTGCACTTCTTGGAGCTGAGTCTCGACGCGAAAAGATGATTTGCTAGCATAAGGCAAATATTAGCAACAAATGCATGGTTTTAAATCCTTTTGGGCCACTCACGAGGATAAAAGCCCAAGAACAGCAACGATGTCAATACGACTAGCGCGGAGACCCTTTTGTGCTTTACTGATATTGTCCTGCTCCCGTAGCCACGCCAGACGGTCAATGCGTCCAGAACGAGTAGTTAATCGCTTTTTAATATTCTCAAGTTCCTCTAGACGATCCCATGCAAGCTGTAAACTTGGTAGGAAGCGCTTTGCAGCGGTTAGAGGAGATAGCTTGGACGTATGCCTATCATCATGAGTATCATGCTCTGCGAGGAGGATTTCCGCTTCTGACAGCACCAGGCGAAGGTCAGAAAGTTCGTTGTTCAGGGCAAGGATTGAGGCTGGAGCCCCACGCAGCGATGCTAGTTTGTTGATGCCGATAGCAACCTGGTTACCTGCGCCTATCAAAGCAACTACACTCGCAGCGATGGACAGCGGATCCATGGGTACTCGACGATGAGTCGTGAGAAATGCTTACCATGATTTATTGCAAGTTTAGCGCTGTGTCGTAATCGCGAGGTGTTTCACCACCCAACCGCCCACACCCCACTTTTACCCCTGTCGGAACACCAAAACTGTGAGGTCTTTTCAAAGCGCCCAGAAAATTCTAAAAACTTCCCGGATTATGATACTCTAAATAGGTCGAATATACAATAAATCCTGCCTAAATGTAAGGATAATGCGAGGTATCCTTCTAACTAGTGTCACGTGACAGAGCTACTAAGCTAAGATAATACTCTTTTAGGTTAGAGACTTTTATGGCAAGTGAGATTATACCCTAAATTTATCCTTTTAGGTTAGCCTTAAGGAGGAAACGCCTCACTTTTCTTACGCAATAAGGAAGTTCCCCTGGTTTACTTAATCCGAGTCAAATTTCGAGGGTTCTTGTTGCAGTAAATGCGTGTCATGGCAGGAACGAAGCAATGGAACGAGGCTCAAAGATCTAAGATCCCAGTGGCTTACAGAATCTAAAGCTAAGGAGAGAAGGAGTGAGGTGTGGCAGTGATAAGTAGGTACGGCCAAGACCACTGAAATGTCGAGCTTGGTTTGAACCTTAGCTTGACACCTTAGCTGAAACCAACCCGTAGCACCCATTTGACACCAGCCGTCACAATGCGGTTGTATTGTAATAATGTAAGACATGAAGGAGGAGAGGTGTGGCGCGGAGGGCCAGAGCTTAAATACAGTAAGTGTGGTCACGTGTGGTCAAGTCACGTGGCCAACCTGCAATTGCCATGCAACAGTTCTTAGCAATATTCGAGGTGTGACTGCGGGATCAATGCAATGGCCGGGGCTCAAAGTTCAGAGAATCTCATGTATTAAAAATACTAAGCTAGAGAGTAAAGGAGAAGGGTATGCTTCGACCTTTAGTAGTGTTTTGTTAGTCTCTAGCTCACTTGCCCCGTTTCAGGCACGTTTCCTCCCCGTGTGATATTCGCGGCAGATCATGCACTTATGCCAGCCGTCACACGAGGTAATTATAAGGATATTCTATACGAATTCTTAGTCCGGGACTGGAAATCCTGAGGAGAATCCTGATAAGATATAAGGAGGATATCTTAGATTACAGCCAAAATTACTCGGGATTAAACAATTATCTGGTATAAAGCCTAGCTCTTAATCCGAGACGACTAAACTAAAGAGAGGAGTACGTACGGGTGTGCGAACGCCAGTACGCGAAATAGCCTATCATATCACGTGCTTCTGCACGTGACAGCCATGGAGCGTGCAACCATAACAGTATCCTAATAGCGAGGTTTTGCTGTAACGTTATTTTCTCCAAATTGTGGTGTCGTGGTTAAATAGAAGTTTCAGCGGTTGGGTAGCGTGGGTGGTGAACTCTTGGTTCGTTATCGATTCAGTTCGGGGCGGGGTCATGTAAGCGGAAATCGAACAGAACCTGGAAAGGTTCAAACGCCCACGCACGCCAAGAACACCAAACATTTATGATGTTTTCAAAGTGCTCAGAAAATTCTAAAAACTTCCAAGATGCCTATAATTAAGTCGTAGATCACAATTATCAACTCTTTTCCTTCATTTTGTTGCATTGTTGTAGTTAAATAGATTTTTGGGCGGTTGTCGGGTGATCTTTCTTCATGCCTGACTCTTAAGGCGCTAAGCTAGCAGTTTGGCTGTCTGGTCAAGCGCTTCGTGCCCATTTGCGCACAAGCTCACCGTGACCGAGAATCATGTCGGCCCAAATAGCATGCGAGCCCCTCCTAGGCCAGACTACTATTGCATATGGTGACTCAGTATGTCAAGACCCCTTGTCTCGATAGGCACTTACCTATACACCAGGTCGCCGTTACGGTAGTCTTGGTATGTGACGAGCCCGACAACGAGTGGGAGGTCGCCCTTTGGCACAACACGCCTGAATCTTGGGAGTGGACTCAAACTGATCTTGAAAAGAAAGGAGATGGGGCTCAAGATGTAAGGCTCCACTCCGCCTTTCAGAACATTTAATGATATACGCCAGCTACAACGAGGTTTATGTCGACCTGGTACGGCGACATTGTATACAGGATCTTTGCAGCGATTTTCGGCGACAGATAACACCATCTATTTCACTGTCAAGTACAGGGTTTCTGGCCAGGGATGGCAATGGGCCAACAAACAGACAGGTACCGGAGATGCTGAAATCGTCTTTTCGCGGGATGGAGAGATCCCAAACTCAATGTCTCACTACTTCCACAACTCAGACCCCGAGTTAGCTGTGGTGGATTGTGAGGCAGGTGTTGTTGATCAAGAGAGACGGATAGGGACGCGCCTTTGGGCTATCTCAATCCCCATTCCAGCCGCAACAGGACAGTCCGCCTTTTCTCGTGTAAATCTTGGCTTGCCGGTAGATATGTTGCGATGGTTTTGCTTAGCACGAGAATCGCGCCCATGGCTTTGTCCGAGGCAAGGCCGGAACAAATTTACATTGGAGGAGGACGCAATTCTGGTATCTTTGTTACTTCGAAATGGCTTACATCTCGTCCTGTTGGCTTTCAGCTTGAATGATGTTATGACCGTAATCAAAGCGGATTGCGACGGCAACTTAATCGCGGTTGCCAGGAACGAGCGATCAACTGCTGGCATAGGATCTATCTTGGTCGCTGTTGGAAAAACATTCGAAGATGCAAATCAAGCAGTAATGAGCCATGCAAAAGCAATAGCCGCGCGGGAAATGGAAGGCATCAGGAACGAAATCGAATCGATGGTAACTCATATTCCACCGGATTCCCTGGAAGATTGGTATGATAGCTTTGCATACTGTACATGGAATGGTCTTGGCCAGAAACTTACCGACGAGAGACTTTATCATGCGCTAGAGAGCATATCCAAAGCTGGGATCAATTTCTCAACGATGATAATCGATGATAACTGGCAATCTATCGACGAAAATGGAGCCAACAACTTTCATCATCGTTGGATTGAGTTTGAGGCAGACAGAAAAACATTTCCTCGTGGTCTCAAACATACCATTTCAACGATTAGAGAGCGATATCCGTTTATTAAACATATTGCCGTGTGGCATGGGATTCTAGGATATTGGAATGGCATTTCTCCTGAGGGAGCTTTAGCAAAATGCTACAAAAAGAAGACACTGAAGAAGCAAAATAATGGTTTCCTTGGCGGAGGATCTTTGGTGGCTGTGGATGCCGATGATGTGCAACAATTGTACAACGATTTCTACCAGTGCGTAGCGACAATGGAACTTTCCACAATCACACTCCAGCTAATTAATCTTTTTATCGTTTTTTTAGATATCTCGCGGACTCTGGCGTCGACTCTGTGAAAACGGATACCCAGTTTCTGCTGGACCTAATTGATAGCGCTCCGGATCGTGCCCGATTTATATCGGCATACCAGGATGCCTGGATGAAGGCCACCCTTCGCCACTTCTCTGCAAAAGCTATCTCTTGCATGTCTCAAACACCGCAAATTATTTTCCACTCCCAACTTCTCACCTCTCTACCTAAATTAATGGTTCGCAATTCAGAAGATTTCTTTCCTGACGAACCTGCCAGTCATCCATGGCACATCTTCTGCAACGCGCACACGAATGTCTTGACACAGCATTTGAACGTTTTGCCCGATTGGGATATGTTCCAAACAAGCCACAGATACTCAGCTTTCCACGCCGCAGCCCGATGTATCAGTGGTGGTCCAATCTATTTCACTGACAAACCTGGAGAGCATGACACCAATCTAATCAAACAGATGACCGCAAGAAACAAGGATGGGACGATCATCCTAAGACCAAAGGTTGCAAAGACGACCTATTTGTACGCCAGCAACAAGGAGATGAGACTTCTCAGAATAGATACCTCGACTATGGATACAGACATACCTTTGTTAGGTGTCTTCAATATCAACCACCAGCCGCTCATAGAGATTATAAAACTCGAACATTTCCCAAACCTTCCAGTCGCCAAGGCGTATATTGTCCGCGCTCATACTTCGGGCGAAGTCAGTGAGCCGATGAGCTTTCAAGACTCCACCACTATTCCACTACTACTGAGTTTGGAACCCGCAGGATATGAAATTTTGACGGCCTATCCGCTTCACACGACAATAAATTCGGTAGGAAAGGCCACGATCAGTATTGCCGTGCTGGGTCTACTAGATAAGATGACAGGTGCAGCGGCGGTATTACGTTCAACTGTTTACGAGGAAGGAGACGGTGTGCTTGTGCAGATTGCGCTGAAAGCAATGGGTCTACTTGGTCAGTTAATAAGTATGCGAACTATCAAGAAAAAACTGACTGTTCACAGGCATTTACATATCTCCGGACGTTGGAGATCTAAACCTTTCAAGTGTCAAAATGTGCAAGGAGTTAGTCCCCTCGAATGCCATGCGGTTTGTTCCAGAGGAGAAAACGTTTAAAGTCGATATGGCAATGGCTTGGGAAGCAATACCCAAGCTGCAGAAAGGCAAAGAAATTTCTTTCGAGATGTTAATACATTAACGGAATATACAAAATGTCACGGACGATTGAACTCAAGACAATATAAGAAACCCAAATAGTGTGGGAGAGAAACTGCGACAAGACAAAAACCCACATAAAGTACACCAGAGCGCAAAACGTGACTTGACAGCAAAATAACAAGAACAAGGGCATAAGCAGTAAAGCATAAACAGTGTGCAATTACAAAAGCTCAATTGATTGATATGAAGGACGGATGCATGTCTAGAACTACAGAAAAACCAGCTTTCTTATGTGATTCCAGCAAATCACGTGCAAAAGGCCCTAGCCTTTGTCATGTGACCAAAACCTCAAAACTGCCAAAACAACGTGATTTTTATGGAGTACGGCTTGCTGTACTACAATAGTTAAATTTCTGGAAGGTTGCGACTGAAGCTGGTTCACCTGTTGCGCCTGAAAGTACGGGAAGCCGTACTCCAAGCGAACTTTGAACTTCGAACGAGGCGCGTGCATGCTCCACCCCACCAAAAATCGCCCACACACCACGTCCCCCCTATCCCTAAACCTCTACCACTACTTAAAAGATGAACTCCCTCCCTTAAATTCTTATTTTTTATATATAAGAAGAGCCACGTGTGCTAGAGAAGATATAACTTACTAATACCAGTTGTCTACTTGCTTTTAGTAAGACTTTCAAGCCTTGGGCTCGAGAGAGGTTTGAACTTCAGAGCTCTTAATATAAATTATATTCTTCTTAAACCCTTTTTGTCGGGCTCTTAAACAAAACTTCTAGGATCCTTCGTCCTGCCCATCGGGTTGCGGCGACACCACGCGAGTAAGTGACTGTAATAGTTCAAGCCAGCCGATCTTGCTTGTTTGCGAAACCACGGTTTGCCGATACCTCGCAGATCTAAAAGTAAGAATATTAACGATATTAAGAAATATTACTTTCGCTCCATCCCGCCACCAAAATTACCGCCCAGCAAAGTCCTACGGTTCCCAGTGATAAGGCTCTGAATCCGCGTTGGCAACATCCTTGCCAATATCCAGATAAATAATACGAGGAGGGTAACCGGAATAGTAATAGACCAGTAGTACTTGAACCCTGAATTAATGGTGGGGACACCATCGTCATCCCAATTAAAGGTCGGCATGGCGAAAATTGCCTAAACAAAATGTAAGCATTTCCTATGAATTTCATTTTTAAAATCAGAAGCCAAATATTCAAAAGATAGAGGCTAAAGGAAACTTACAGCAATGGAAGCCCCAGGTAAGAAAAATATGCCAAGGATAGTAAGGATTTTCATTGCAGAGCTATCCTTCTTGCTTTCCGTTGCGAGTTCCTTCATAGCCGTGGAATCTTGCATAGTTGCTTGTGCGATGTTGGCAGAAAGCTCTGCGACCCTTATATGAACTTTGGCGTCCTTTTGGGCCATGAATTGGTAGACCTAGTTTAAGTTATGAGCTTTTGTGAGGAAACTGAGCTATTGGTCTTACCCCTTGCGTTAGGATAGCAACTCTCTTTCGCTCGTATTCGGCCTGTACAGACAAGATGCGGCACATATCAAACAAATACGCCAGCCTGTCCTCCACCTCACTTCTCGATCCTAGAACCTCTAAACTTCCTTGCAAGCAAGCACTTCCCTGTGAAGTGTCGTCTTTGAACTCAGTCAGCTTTTCTAGCACATGTTGGTACAGGTGCAACCGTGCGAGATTTAAATCAATACGTTTCCCAATAAAATTGATTTTTCTCGTGGTGGTTCCGAAATCCATTTCGAGAGGATCTCCTCTCGGGCGGTTATGATGTTCATGCTGTCCCGCCTTTTCCTCCAGATCATTGAGCTCCTCATCCGAGACTTGAAGCTTGAATTGGCAGGCTTCGATAACGATTTCTACCAGAAGTAGCGGTATCATAATCGGTTGGTCGCACCAATGTTGATGAGTTTGAAGGCTTTTCTCCAGTAGGCCTTCTAGTCGGCCCCCTTTCCGAAAAAGAACAAGTGCAGAGGTGATATTCGTCCGTTTATTATAGCTAATCCCAACCTGGAAGAATACTGGCCTCCAAAAGGGAACGCCGAAAAGAAATACTATTTTGAGCCCTCACGTTAGATAAGAATTACATCAACTTTGCTCCGCAGTGAATATACCTCTAGTCTTAGGGTCGCCGCCCAAGCCTGCAGAAAATCTGTGAGCTCTGGTATTGAAATTTCCGATGAGGCTCAGAAAGAGGGGAGGTATTCTCCATTGCTCCCTCAAGAGAGTGAAAGAGCCTTCTGTTATAGGTAATTTGAACGGCTCCTTCTCCTCAGTCCAATCACACATTCCAAGTCTATAATAATATTAGGAGGTCCTCTTAAAGTATTTTGACAGCTCTTACAGTAAGCGCAGCCCTCCTGTAGGCTTTACCTGCTCACTCCCGGACTCAACAGTCAAGTCCTGATTTTCTCTTAACATATGACTAGTATTTGCCACGTTCAAGCAATCAATGATTCATACCTTCGTCAACCAATTTTCAAGTAACGCTCCACTCATGACATCTTCCCTCGACTGCAATTTAATATTTCCAGGATATTTAAGAACTTCCCGATATCGGCAATCTGTGGTGTCTGCATGCTGAGCACGGGAGCCTGCCAGTGGGCGCCAGAACTTTGGGTCGTTTTCTGTCATGCATGCGTCGATGGGATCCATGTTTCTCAACCCTTGATCCATATAAGTTGATTGTTGGAGTTTAGGAGAACGATATTACTCGCGTTTAAGATACGGCGAGGAAGTAGGAATGCGATAGAGGGCTACGACCCTGATATATTTAGCATCGACATTATAATACGAGTCGGGCGAGGTGGTGGAGGCTGGGGACGCCACTTGAATGCGCATTGCTTTTCCCGTGACCAATAAGCGGACAAACCTTTAGTCAGGAGCCCAATAACAAGCTTATTGCTCTCGGTTATTCCGTTCGTTTAATCTCGGCTGAAAACTATTCGAGAAGTATAGGATGACCTGCTTATCTTCCTAATAATCGAGTATTCGCTCTCTTAAGCAGGATATTCTTTAATAATATTAGAAGTCGAATTAATTAAAATAAGGCTCGCCTCCTTGCCACGATTATTATTTAAGCAATTAGCACAATTTATTAATTTCTATGATTTATTATTCCTAATAATATTATATTTATATATGATATATTATGCTGGAATAAGCCTTAAAGTAAAGAAAATCAGTATTTTTAACAAGTATGCTCTCTCTTTTTATATCGTTAAATTAAGACATATAATCTTTTATAAAAGTTCGATCCGCTTATATATAAACTTCTTCCTTAAAATGAAATATAACGTGAAAGAACAATTCCAATTCCAAGCCTATAATCGACAAAATAGATTTATATATAGTAATAGTAGCAAGATTTCACTTCTCACACTCCTCTAGAATTCTGAATGCCAATCAACTTGGAGCTAACCTATTATCCCCTCTTCCCTTCTTTTATCCCCATTCACTATACAATGTCAAGATTCAAACAATACCCAAATCACCCTATTCAATAAAGAATCCTCCAACAGGCCTGCCTCCAAACAACTGCATGTCTCACCTTTAAATATTAGAACAATAGCTTCATTGCGTTTCATTATCATACCCTCCCCCTCCGCTCTTCTTACTCATCGCATCACCGCTCCACGTGGCCCAGCCCAACATTGCCTCCACTTCCACCTCCAACTGCCAAACACCTTGTACACATGTACCACATAATAACCCACACCCACAGTCTACGCTGCCACCCTCACCACTGTACACCCCTGCACAGCCTCAATAGGCTTCCCTCTCCCAACCATTCTATTATCTATCTATTTACTGCCGAAATATATCCACACTTCCAAGACCTCCTTGTCTAATAATTTCTGTCCAAACTGCAATTACTTTTAGGAAGAGAGGGGGTTAGCGAGGAGGAGGCGAGGGAGAGGGTGAATAGGTAGAGGAAGAGGAATATGTGAGAGAGGGGAATAAAATCAGTTATAAGGGAGGCAGAAGGGTTTGTTTGTTTATCTGTGAGGAAGATCTCTCCCAAGGTGCGAAGAAGGATAGAAATTGCCATAGAGAGCTAGCAGAAGATAGTCATAGTCACATATAGCAGGAGACCTTTGATACCTTCGTAGGATCCGATCTACTATTATCAATTACCTAGAAGAAGATTTACGTCCTCCCTCCTACTTATATATACGGGCGAGAACAAGCGTGTGCTTTAGGGACGAAGGTAGAGATCCGGAGCATCGAGGGGGAAAATATTGAAGATTCGGGAGAACCTGGCGACCTTGTCATCACAAAACCGTTCCTCAGTATGCCAGTAACATTTTGGTCTGTCTAGTTTGCAGCATCTGTCTGTATTGTTATTATTCTAATGCGCACGAATTAGGGGCAACGATGGAGAACAGAAATATTTCTCAGCTTACTTTGACCGGTATACTGAGGCCATTAGCGGGCTAGTCGACAAAACCGAGAAGCGAAAAGTGATTTTCTGATTTTTTGATTTTCGCGCCCGCACCCCCCCCCATACCTCACTAAAAAAAGAAGTATAGCATATACGCCTTATTCTCGACTACTCCTAACCCCCCCTTAGCTTGCATAGTCCGTAAGGCAAATCCCATAGATTACGAGGCATATCTCCATCTCCCTTACTCTCTATATCCTCTATACTACCTAGATTACTCAAATTATCTATATCTTCTTCATTCTCTTCTCCTCTAGTATTCTTACCCTTCTCTACTATAACCTCCTTTCCTATTGCCTTCTGACCTTATATCTGTCTTTATACTCGCTTTCTATATCTTATAGGCAGTCGAGGCTTTAGTATAAAGGGTTTTACAGATACAGAATAAGGCTTTCTAGACTTAGTAGAATTAGTATTAAGTTAATAGAAAGTATAGACTTTACTATTATTATTATATCTATAATTTATATAAGTACTATTAAATTCGCCTTTTATAACTATATAGTATTTAAAAGGGTCCCTTAGTCTCTTCTTATTACTATAAGTAATATAAGCTTAAGAGAATTCGGTTCTATAAATATATACTAAGCTTGCTTCTAGATTTACCTTGCCTTTTTCTAAATTTTTTAATTCCCTATCCTAGTATAGCTCTATTTCTCTAACTTTAGCCTTATTATTAATTTACTTTACTACTTTAGTAATATTATTAAGTAATATAAGAAAATTAAAGTATTATTATAAAAAAGAAGAAAAAGATTATATATAAAAAAGAAGTTAAGAAATAGAGAAATTTATTAATTAAATATATTAATAAGAGAAAATATTATAAACTAAGTCTAAATTATTAGAGAATATATTATAAATATTTTTTTTTTACTTATTTATAGCTTTATTATCTTTTCTATTACTTTTATCTTTATTAGAGCTATTATCTAAAGCTATATTTAATATGTTTTTAATAAAGAAAAGCTTTAATAATAATATTATATATTAGAATTAAAGTTATTTTCGGAAAAAGATTAAGATTAAGATTAAGACTAAGATTAAAGCTAATATAGCTATATTTTTATTATTTATTTTTAAAATATAAAAATATATATTTAATATAATTATTTAAACCCGAATAAATTTATAATAAATAATATTTAAAAATAGAAATATTAGTATTTAATAGCCCTAGATTAAGTATATTTAAATATTAAAAAAATTATAATTTTAGATAAAAATATAAATATTCTTTCTTTTACTAATTTATAAAAGCTAAAATATATTAATAATAATTAAACTATATTTAATTTATATAATTAGCTAATTTACTTTACTAATTATAAATAATTCGAGATAATTTCAATTTCCTTAAATTTCTATATATAGTTTATTATATAAACTTTTATATTTCTATATTTAGTAATATTATAATTATAATTTTTAAATAAGAAAAATTCCCTTATTTTAGTATATATAATTATTTTTATTTTTTATTTTTTAAATATATAATTATTAAATTAAAAAAACTCAAGAATTCTAAATAATACTTTTTCCTAAGAAATATATATTCTTAATAAATAATAAAAGTAAATATAAAATTATATAATAATATAATTACCTTATACTAGTAATTTTATTTTTTATAAAACTATAACTTTATTTTATTCTTTTTTTATATTTTTTTAATTTTACTATTAATACTAAAAGCTTCTATTTTTTACTAATACCTTCTTTATTAATATCTTTATTAATACCTTTATTAATACCTCTATTAATATTAAAAGCTAGTATCTAATTACCTTATAATCTTTCTTTTCTTTTCTAAACCCTTTTTTCTTTAATACTTCTACTATTAATACTAAGAGCTAGTATCTAACTATCTTATAATCTTTCTTTTTTTCTCTAAACTCCTTCTTTAAATTCCTCTTCCAAACCCCTTCTCTAAATCCCTCCTCCTTTAATACTTCTACT